TCATAAAAGGAAATCAGGTTAGTTAGGCAGAACCTACCCTTCACAAACCCATGCTGGCTGGGACCAATGACTGCTTTGTCCCCCAAGTGCGCCTCAATAAGTTCAAGAACCATCTTCTCCATGATTTTACCAGGCACTGACGTGAGACTGACAGGCCTGTAATTGCTAGGGTCTTCTTTCTGACCCTTCTTGAAAATCAGCACAACATTTGCCAGCTTCCAGTCTACCGGGACCTCTCCAGATTCCCAGGATCGTTGAAAAATAATTGAGAGAGGTTCCGCGATGACATCCGCCAGCTCTTTCAGCACCCGGGGATGAATCCCATCCGGACCCATGGACTTGTAGGGATCCAGGTGGAGTAGCAAATCCCGCACACGTTCAGGGTCGGTTGGGAGTTTGTCATCCCCACCGTCCCGGTCCTCCATCTCAGGGCACCCTGGGTCCCGAAGCCCATCATCGGCATTGAAGACAGAGGCAAAGAAGGCGTTAAGCGTCTCTGCTTTGCCTATGTCATTGTCTGTGAGGAGACCTTCCCTATCAAGGAGCGGCCCTATGTATTCTTTAGTTCTCCTTTTTCCATTCACATATCTAAAAAAAACCTTTTTATTTTCTCTCACAGACACAGCCAGCTTCAACTCTAGGTGTGCTTTAGCCACACGAATTTTCTCCCTACAAACACGAACAGCATCCCTGTATTCTTTCCATGACACCCGGCCCTCCTTCCAGTAGCGAAACACTCTCTGTTTCCGCCTAATCTCCATCAGAATGTTCCTGGTCAGCCACGCCGGCCTCCTGCCCCGCCTGCCTGACTTGCGATATTTAGGAATTGCCTGATCTTGTGCTTCTAGGAGGCATCGCTTAAAGAATGACCAGCACTGATGGACATCGAGGCCTTCAAGAGCAGCTTCCCAGGGGGCCTTGCTGACTAGTTCCCCGAGCAGCCTGAAGTCCGCTTTCCCCATATCTAGGGATGAGGTTTTGGTGGCACTTTTCCTTCTGTCACCGTAAATTTTGAACTCAACCACTTCATGGTCGCTATGACCGAGGCGGCCACCAATCACCGCATCTCCCACCAGACCCTCTCTGTTTTCTAGCAACAGGTCTAGGAGGGCACCTTTCCTAGTTGGCTCCGTTAGCACCTGCACCAAGAAGTTATCATCTAGGTGCTTCATGAACCTCCTGGACTTGCTCGTGTCAGCCGTGTGGCACTCCCAGTTAACGTCTGGCAGGTTGAAGTCCCCCATAAAGACAAGGGGAGTTAATCTCGAGGCCTCTCTTAGTTCTGTAAAGAATAATTTATCGGTGCTATCGTCCTGGCCAGGCGGTCTGTAATAGACTCCCACAACGACATCCCCTTTATTCGTTCGTCCCTTGATCCTTACCCAGAGGCTCTCAACTTTGCCATCGCCGACCTGAAGTTCCACACAGTCCAGCCCCTGCTTCACATACATCGCCACCCCACCACCTCGCCTACCCTGCCTGTCCCTCCTGAAGAGCCTGTAACCATCTATCGCAACACCCCAATCACAGGACTCATCCCACCAGGTTTCGCTTATGCCGATGATGTCGTAGTTGCGGGACTGGGCCAGGACTTCTAGCTCATCCATTTTATTCCTCATACTGCGTGCGTTCATGTAGAAGCATTTCAGGTGCGTCTCCTTACACTCAGCACCTTGTGGATCTAACCGAAGGACCTCACTGGCACACAGCCCCTCTGATTCTAGCGTACCATCCCTTAGGTCTTCACCGGCGTGCCTGGTTTTAGCCCCTTCCCCCTTCGACTCTAGTTTAAAGCCCTATCTATCAGCCCTGCCAACTCCTGACCAAAGATCCTTACCCCTCTCCGAGAGAGGCCCTTCCCATCCGGTGCCATCAGGCCCGGTGTAGCATAGACCTTCCCGAGATCAAACAGAACAGCTGTGCTGAAGTTTTATTAATCACAATGCAGATCTGGCACGTCTTGAAAGCCCAAGATATACCAAGACAGAACCATTTCACAGTCACACCAGGCAAACTTAGACTTCATACGCATTTCCATATAACCTAATATGGGAGGACTGGGGGGAAATAAACCACATGGTCACATGAGCACTGGAACTAATGCATCCCGCTTTCCCCAGGATGTGTGCCATGACTGATTGTAACATACAGAAATGCTCACTGTCACAGTCTCCCCATAGACTTAATTTTTCTGATCACTTCACTCCCACATAAACTCTCATATCTTACACAGGTCAAGTTGGTCAAGTTCATTTGCAGTTTTTCCTGCAATGGTGATCCACTAAGGTCTTTCTGTTCTAACCGCGTTGCTCATTTTGACAAAACCTGTAGTCACTTAATAATCCTCATGCTAGTTCTCTCTCAGGGCCATTTTTAGCCAAATGATGGGTGAAAAACATTCCTGGAAAAGAAGAGGAAGGAAGGAGTCAGACAGTGAGATCACATATACCATGGCCATAGGAAATCAGACTAAAAATGTTTTTTCCCAACAAACATCTGTGGTTGTTATTTCTTTTAAGTCAGGTTTGAACAATAAGTCAGTTCCATCCATAAAAATTCAGAAACAGGAATATAACATTCAACAGCATAAAGCAAAAGTTCAAGGTACAAATTCAAAGACTTCCTTGGACAATTAAATAACGTATAGACTTTGAATCTTAAAATGCTTTAGAATTTGAAATCTTAACCACACTTGATCTCCAGGCACCTGCTTACAAAGCATCATATCATGCCATACTGTTAAAGCAGGAGTAACAGCAAAGTTGCTTACATGTCACAGTAAATACTTTGAATACCACCATAGTTACTATCTCCACGATAACTAGGAATTGTATTTATTGTCCCATCATAAAGCAAGGTTATGAGCTTACAGTGGTAGTTTTAATAAGCCTAATGAACATTCCTCTCTAAATACAACCTCTCTAAAAATAGATCACAGCATGTAAGGTTGCCAAAAAATATTTACACTTAGTTGCTTATAGGTCAGCAGCCACATATTATGGTTATTTATGACATGGCTGCCACCTATGATAAAAAAAAAAAAAGACACACTCATAGAAGTAAAAAAAAAAAATCAGTATTATTCTACAGATCTCTAAGCTATGTAGCTCACAGGTGAGTTGTACACAAAGACTAAAAGGATTAATTTAACTGCATTGCAACTGCTGCATGGACCAAGTTAAAGGTCTTGTATATACACACAGTCAAGATGGTGATAACAGGCTTGTATTTACACTATGATAAAAAAGACAGGCCAGCAAAAGCAAAAATTATTAAGAGCTCTCTGGCTTGCTTACTTCTCATGCTATTAGGGGAAGAGGAGGCAAAGATAGTTTGGTTGTGGCAAGTCAGCAAACAACATTCCATTTACTGTGGAGATTAGCTGGTGTAAAAGGCAGTCTACAGTATTGGAAGATCGCTCTGACCTCTGCTGGTCCACTCAGAGAAGCTGAGCAGAAACTGCCTGAAGGGAGGCAGAAGTCCCCAAGGGTGAAGTGGTTCCCAAGCACAGAAAAGGTTGACCATATTGTTTTTATGTGGTCTATCAACTCATTGTCACTTAGGTGAACTTCCAATTTGCTTCTGTTTCACAGTCTCATACCAAGATTTAGCTTCTAGCCCTGTACTTTGTTCTGGTGGCCCGTCAAGTCCTAGCACAAGGCTTGAAGAGCCTCTCTCCCTTGACACTGATTCCCACCTCAGCACCTCTTCACAGCTTAGCCCTGGGTCCCCTCCAGTTTCAGGGCTGCGGTCTTAATGACCTGCATGAGAGCCACCAATGCACAAGACACAATGCACAAGACAGCTCAAAGAACACCTTCCGTGGGCCTTAAATCTGCCAAATGAGGAAAAAGTAGAAGGGTAGTAAGCGATTTTCCTCTAAAATGAAGGGCTTCAATGGCCCACAGCACCATAGTGCTGTGCATAAGCACATCATGACCAAAAGACAGCTCCCGGGGTGGGGACTGTTTTCTCTGTTCCCCTTGTCAAACTGGAAGGAATACTCAGATTAAAAGCTGAGTCACACGTTTCCATTTCCTTCATATCATGCTGGCAAAAGCATAGCCATGCTTTCTATATCACCACAGCCTTAGTTCCCCAGTGAACACGAAAGCAGCAACTACAACAGGCCATCCTACAGCAAGGGAAGCTGTGGCCACAGGATCTGACAAAAAAATAATACACAAACTCAGCAAAATGGCCCCAGCTGAGTGACTGCAGCACTCTGACCACGTGACTGGTCTCCTTAAAAACACGGTCTCACAACAATGACAATTCTTGTTGAAGAGGCGCCTCCAACCTGTTTAGGTTTAAAAGTCACCTTCGAATGAACTACTCTTCCCAAGCACGCAGTTGCCATCCCCTGCTAGAAATGTGTTTTCTCCACCATCTTCCTTCAGAAGTAAATGAATCATGGTAAAGGCACGACTGCTTCTGCTGCTCCTCAGCAGAACCATAATACAGAAACTTGATTTAAAATACATAATGGAGGAAATACCAGTAAGCCACACCAGAACAGCCAGGAGAAGGAAAGGGAAGCAATTTCCTTGAGATGAGTTTTGAGGCCAAATATTTTAAGTATTAAAATCTGCCTTCTAAACATCACAGGCAATTAATAGACTCAACATGGGCAAAGCACGCTCACTCAACAGCCAGTCAAAAGGAGACTGAAATTAGAATTGCTTCCTACCCTACACACCTCTAGCACCACAACAGAGCCAAGGCCAATTTTAACCAGCCAGAAACCCAAAGACAACTTTTTTGTGTAGATAGGGAGGCATGTTGTTTCAGTACAAGTAGTACTATCTCAGCACAGCCTTTGGTGTAAACAGACAGCTATGAAAACACATTGTGGGAGTATCTAGATGAGAAGGCCAGCTGTGGGCAGCTAGCAGCATGCACCCCATGCCCCTAAGATGGGTGCAGCATCAGCTGGTACTGTGGCTGACAGAGCTTCTTCCAGGTGCCCCATGCCAAAGGGGAAGGTGAACGCCTTCATTCTGACGTGTGTGGGGGAGACACCTTTTTGCTTAAGTTAGTCAGTCAGTTATGGAAATCCCCTGTGCAAAATATCTGTGCCAACATAAAAGTCATGGATAAACCAGGCACAAAACACAGGTGGATTTAATCATTCCCTCGCAGCTTTTACAATCCTCACACTTCAACTAAATTAAAAAAAAAAAAAAGACCCCCACATCGTCATCAGAAGTTTATTTTACAGAAGTAAAGCGGGTTCCCCTCCCAACAGCGAGCGGCCGAGTCAGGCAGCGGCCGAGTGCGCCCCTCTAACTGACTGACTGACCAACCGCCAACGGCGACCAACCGCCCCCAGCAACCGCCCGCGGCGGTCGGGGCCGCTCCTCCTCCGCGCCTCGCGCCGACCCCAGCCCCAGGTCAGGTCCGGCTGAGGCTCCACGCCCCGCCGGGGCAGCGCCCGCTCACAGGCCTGAGGGCGGGTGGGTGAGCAGGCAGGCGGGCACGCCGCGAACTCAGCTGCTCCTTCGCCCTCCTCTCCACTGCCCCGGGCGGCGCTGCCCGGTCGGAGAACAAAGAGGGTGTCTGCCCTGCTCGGGGGCTGCTGAGGGGGCTCCGGTGGGATGCACTTTTTGCCCCCCCCCGCCTGCTCGGGCAAACTCACCCTCCTTGGCTTTCTTCTTCCTCGCCAGGGTGCCACCGATCTTGCCCAGGAACGACTCGTCTTTTTTCATCCTGTGGGGCCGCAGCGTCGGCGAGCGGATGGGAGCAGAGGACATGGGTTTCGACTTGGGAAAGGGAGTACCGAGGCAGCCGGCCCGAGCCCCGCCGTGCCCTGTGCGGGAGTGTGGAGCGTCCCGCGAAGCCGAACAAAGCTCTGCGAGAGGCGAGGAAGGGGAAAGCTCCCGTCTGGCCGCGGTGGGGAGCAGGGGGCGTGCGAGCCTCGGAGGCGCGGAGGACAGGGGGCGGGGTGGGAGCCGCTGCCGCCGGACACAGCGTTCTTCCACGGCGGCGAAGGCCGCGGGCGGCGGGGGCGGGACGACATGGCCATGCGACGCGGGTGGCGCCCGCTCCGGTGGATTGTACCGGGCACCCGGAGAGCCTCGAGGATAAAAAATGAATAAATAAAAACATTTGAGGTTTCAAATGTTCAAATTTGAGGAGGAGAGCTGTTCTGATAGGGGTTAGAAAAGGGGGGGGTGAACGGACTGCAGCTGTAGCTTCCCCTCCCGGTGCAGGGTGTGAGGGGCTCCCTGGGCTCCTCGGAGAGGCAGCACCGCCACCGTAAGCAAAGCGTATAGGCAGAGAAACAGCCAAAACCAGATAGTTGTCATCCCAAAGAAGTTTTCATTACGGCACCAGATGGCGTGATGAGGGCTCTGTAGAATACACATTAGAAACATCCTAAAAGAGTTCCTAGTGTTAGGCTCTGATCCTGCAAAGTCTGATGCGCATACTTAACTTTAAGCTCCTGAAGCGATCCCATTGACTTTAATGAGACTACTGGGTACCCAAAGTTATGCACATGCCCGTGGCCATGCTCCTGCCACAGCTCCCCATCAACAGCCCTTACCCCAGCACAGAACTTGTCAAGTCAAGGCGACTTGACACAGGGTCCACACACCCAGCCTAGGGCAGCTTGCAGGACACATTTTCCTGCCTGATCGGCCCAGGAGCAGCACTACACAACGCATCCTTGACTTTGCCTCGTGTTTTCAAGAAAGGAGACTGAGTGTTTTGCATTTCTGTTGTAACTACTGTTACTTGGAACAGTTTTCTACACACAGAGACACCATTAATTACCTATATTGCATTTGTATAAAAATATTTGTTGTTGTTTTTGTTTTGTGTGTGGAAAGTATTATTTAATACAATAGCTAATGACATTGAAGAACACAATGCTTTCTCACATCATTGTGTCTCTAATTGGTTTTCTATCTGCATTTGAACCATGGGTTCGCCTTAGGGTCTCCACTCCTGCTGTTGCATTTTGCAAATCAACAGGAGCATGAAAAACAAAGACTGGCAACGCACAAAATCAAAGGGTAGTCACAGGTTTGGAGCAGGACCTGCTTTGAATGTTAGCCTTTAATGGATTAGGTTTCCAGGCTATAATGTCCCTCTGCTCAAGCCAGCTACTGCTCCAGCACGAGAGACAAAGTCACCCACAGCACTGCTGTGCATCGCTGGCAAAAGCAACTGGGAGTTGGGAGCGCTGGCCACGTGTCGCCAATGTCCTGTGTTGCAGATAGCTTGAGCCAGGGCTTCTCCTCAGATTAATAACGTTCTCTGAGCAATACTGCCACATCTCTAATTTTCCCACACTAACATTACATTCTGTGTTTCCACACACACTAAATATCTCACAAAATAATATGCTTTGCGGATTTTAACAGCAGTAGCTGTTCCTGCAAGCAATGCTTCTTGCATTCAGCTTCTCTGGCCAGGCTGCTGAGCTTCTCCATTCAGGAGCCCTGGAGACTCTGAGCTTAAAAATGGGTTGTTGACAAACAAAATTCTCAGGAAATCCTGAACAAAGTCTCTCTGAAGAAAGTACAACTCCTCCAAAAACAAATGAGGCAAAACAAAGTTGTTAACACCCCATGCTTGAGACCTTCAAGGAGCACAGCGAGTCCCACTGTACATTAGGGCAACCCCTCACCAAACATGAGTACAATGTGTTGAATCATTGGGATTAGAAATTAGAGAGCGATTGATTACGAATGAATAAATGCTATATTGCGATGTACTGTGCCTGTGCTGGGCTTAGGCCTCCAGGTAACAGGAGCCCCTCATGGTTCAGACTTTAACTAAGGGGTCAGAGATAAGGAGACTGCTTACAAAGGGACAAGATAAGGAATGTTAAATATACAAGGCCTCAAGATAACAGGAGCCCCTCAGACCCCAAGAACCAGATCAAACCAACCTTATGGCCCAGATTGTGACCAAGGCCTCAGAGAGCATGCGCAAAGAGATGAGGTGAAAAGTTCAACCCTGATGAAGACATCTTACTTCATCCCCATGACCCTCAATGCCCACCACCACAAGGCACTGAGCAAACACAGACGAGGAATTTATGGAAATGACTTCTTGTAGCTAATTTTAATACTAAGTGGGGAACGGTTATGCATATGTATATGCATATTGGGAAACTTCATGCATATGTAACTCTTTACTGCATATAACCATGGCAAGTTGCCACGTTAGGTGCGCACGACTTTGGTGGGACTACCCCCCGTGCTGCCCAGCACTGAATAAACATACCTACTTTACAATCTTACTGATTGTGGAGTCAGCTTTCTGTGAGTCAGTATAGATTCACTCTGATTGATCACAGACTCCATCACAAAAACTGTCATAAAACATTTTTGTTTTATGTTTTTGTTTGGGTAAAGAGAAGCAATGGTCGTTACAAAGAGCACAGAAATGAGGCCTACTTGGCCCTCTTGGTGTTCAGCGGCCCTGCTCCCTCCCAGGTCCTCAGGGAGCATTGTGGGGTGTCCCCTGATGTACCAGTGCACCACCAGTATGCTCTGCACAATTTCCAGCTTCCAGCAGGTCTAGCCCCCAGGGTGGACCAGTGGTGCCCGCCTCCTCTTCCCCAGGCTCTGCACACAGCAAATTCCCGAGGCACCCATCACTGGCACAACTCACTCAGCCTGCGAGCTGCCTTGGAAGGGTACGAAGTGGTTTAACAGTTGTGAGGAGCCACGTGCAGCCCTGGGATATGAGTTGCACTGCCTGGCATTAAAAACAAAACAAAACAAAAACCAACAACAACAAAAAAACACTTTGCCAAGTTGAAGAGCTGCACAAGCTAGGAACAGCAACCAGAAGGTGATTCTAGTGACATGATAAATTGGTGTCCAAACAGAGCACAAACACAGGGCATGTTGAAATTGTTTCTTTAAGCAATGGTCAGTCCTGAAACTTACACAGATTTTTTTTTTCTTATTCCTGTCAAAAGTGTGTTTTTTTTTCCTCTTGATTTCAGAAAGTAATTTCAATAAGTGGAAATCCTGCTTAAGACATTGGTTATAACCTCAGCTTCTCTTCCAGTTTCCTTGGCATGTCCCAGACCTTCCAGCGGCTTTCAATCTGATTTTTTTTTTATTGCAAGATATGAGGAAGCATCGTGTGATCAATGTTGCATGGAGCATACAAAAGGGATTTTATAAGGATCTGCCTGCAGTCAATGTTTAACACGTAGCTGATACAAATTGCAGTGACCACACGATCATCTCCACAACATCCTGGCTCCATGTACCTGTCTACCAATACTCCTCTCCCCTAATCTGCTCAGATTTTCTTTCAAGGTTACTGCTTCACTCGTGTCATGCTTTGTTACAAAAGTGTTTGTCTTAATTCATGGGTAACCCTACCCTGCCTTTAAGAATCTGTGAACTTTATGCTATGCTACTCTGATTTTGTAATGTATGGTAAATCTAAACTAAAAACTGAGGAAGTTGTTCTTGATTAGACAGCCCACTGCTCCAGCCTTAATCAAACATCCTCTTTCCAGCAAACACTTGATCTTTATACCTCACAGCAAGAAAAACCTGTCTTGTGTTTGCCTGTGAAGGATCTTTTCATGAATGCTATTTATTGATATGGCTTCTTGGGAAGGACAAATGTTTGTTTTCCTGAAACAACAGTGTATTGCCCATAGCAGAGGAGTTTTAACCTGTTCAGTTGTTAGTGGAAAAAATGGATTAACATTCCAAAAACTTCAGGTATTTTACTGTGTAGAATACTACAACCAATTCAGTTAATACACATTTTTCCAGTGAATATTTCAACACTTAGAGTCATTAACAAGATGCGTTTTTGCCAGTCAGTTACGGTATGAATAGATGCATCTTTCACACAGTTCTGAGTGTACTTATCCAAAACCGCAGCTGCCTAAATCCCTCAGTACCAAGTTGGCCAGTCAAGTGTTTTTGCATCATTTAGCAATGGTAGTGCCAGTACTGTGGGTGTTGAAGAGCTGCATAATTTATTAAACACAGCTCCTCCAGCTTTTTTGGGGAACGCTCTCAAAATCTTCACAGAGTGAAAGATCTATGATCTATAAGACTTGTGTTACAATACAAGCACTGGCAGTAAAATTAACTCCTGTGCAGCAGATGGCTCAGGACAAAGACCAGGCATACACTGCATCCACAGAGAAGAGTCCATGCAGTTCTTTCCACTTTTTAAGTTCATGTTAAAATAAGTATTTTGGGTAAACAGAAGGGAAAACAAACCAAACAAAAAAAGACAGTGGTGGGAGGGAAATAGAGTGGTAGCCTTACTTATGCCAAAGAGGTACACAAAGTTATTCATTGATTAAGTTGCCCATTTCATTTAAGGATATTACATATTTTTGCAAAATTATGTAATTAGCAAGGAATTTACCTGCATTCAACAGGCATAGGCCAAGTGAGATAGCTTACAAATGCAATTTTCAGTGCATAGAAAATAACCTGAATCCATAAAACAAACACTAGTATCACTGCAGCACATACAGATGTTAAATTAACAGCAGGACTACCACAGTGGTTGTTTCATTTCATAAAATTAACACTGAAGTCTTAGATTACACTTAGCTTTACTGCATTGTGGAAAAAACTTTTTATCCAACCTTTAGAGAAAAAAAAAAAAAAAAAAAATCAATCACTTCACATACCAGAATGTTTTTATGAAATTGTAATCTGAAAATCTGTAAGTACAAATTCCAACCAAGAAAGCACACAAATTGGTTCACAAGCTATACACACAGTCTAAACAGCATATAAAACTTAACCAACCTAAGTACAGCACTTGAAATTTAAAGACTTATATGCAAATATCTTTCAATAATTCAAAGAAAACCATACAAATACATCCATTCACCTCACTTTGATATCCTATATGTTTATAACAGAAATGTTTAAATTTACAGCCTAAGTAGGAAAAGTATGTCAACCTATTGTAAAATAAAAGGACACTGGATTGTTTGAGACAAGAAGAGAGTGTCTATGGCAAAAGAAAGCAATATTACACTTCAAAAAAAGAAAACAAAACAAAGTTCAAACAAACAGTGCTCTTCTAAATAGGATATGAAGAGCTTATGTGAAGACTTTCATCACGTGTTTGTTAGTCTTTAATAATTTAACTGGCTGATAGCCATTCAAAGTGGCACAGCTGCTGCTGCATGAATTGAATGGCCTTCCATTTGAAGTCTGTGTTCTGTGTAAAGAGGAGTACTGAGGCAGCCAGTTACATTATTTATTGAAACCTTCCACACAGAATGAGATACCAGCAGTTTATGACCCAGAAAATTCTCTCTGGTACCCTCTTCTGTCAGGAGATTTCTGTGAGAGTATAGTCACTAAGAATACACGTCTTTCAAAAAAAATTACACTGGAAAAAACAAATCTAGTTCAAAAATCTATTTTAATTTAATCCCAAAATTGTTAAGTTTAACGTTTTGCTGAACACTTAGAAGTCTGGATTGACATTTGCTCATTTTAACATTGATAGTCTTTTTTATAGGTTTTTGTTGTTGTTGTTGCTTCCTCTACTTTAGCATTTGATACTCCATTCAAAATGAGATTACTGTAATTAGGTGTGTCACAAAGTAATGGTGACCTGGGATATATGGGGCAATGGTCTCTCATAGTTCTTCACATAATGAATTAAAGCAGAACCACATGGCTTTTCAAAACAGAAAATCATTCCATACAGTCTTCCTCTATTATAATAATATGCATACTGATTTTTCTCAGATGATAGATAATTTAGACATGAGATGCTATTATTTTTTCTCTCTGGTCTACCAAATGATTGAAAATGCTTTTTTTGTTGTTGTCATTTTGGTTTTATTTTTAAATAATGGTACTTATTCACTACTGAGGTAGAAATGTGCCTCTTAACTGATGCTACTGATATGCTTCAGAATAATTTATATTACGTATTCTAGTTGAAAATTTTTTACAAAGACCATTTATTCCATGCAGACATTAGCTCTATAGCTGCAGACCAGTTTGTATTTTCTAACAATGGAAGGAAGCTGAGTGCTCTGACTTGCACAGACCACATTCTGCATAAAGTCTTGTCCCAATTAACTTAATATCACCAAGAGCACTGCAGCTGCTAACAGCAATTTAGCACTGATGGCATAAATCATGCAGTAAACTCCACAATTTCAAAAACCTTTTCATGGCAGAGAAATTGTGTAAAAATTCTTCTCAAATCTATCGCTAGCACTGGGGCTGCCAGGTTCTAGGCTTTTTAAGCAGATGAGAATGCCAGAAAAATACTGCTATCCTGCACACTGAAATTCTGTAATTTTAGGTGATTTTCTTAAGTTATCCCATACAAAATTCAAGATAATATACCAGGCATATGACCAACTTCACTATTCCCATTAAGGAATGAGGCTTTTTTCCCCTGCAACATCAGTACAAATTACTATTTTCTCATTCAAGTAACTGCTCATGCATACCAGGGAAGGGAGACCCAGTCTGACCCATACTCACTTTTCCATCTGTCTGTATATTTTATTGTACATGGGCAAGTACAGTTCTGCACATTTCCCTCCAAGGACATGACAGGGACAACACTTTCTACAAAATTCAATAGGTATTTTGGAAAGGCACTGAGTATCAGACATTAGTTGCTACATCTCTGCTGAGATTTTCACTAACAACAGGTACAGACCTGTATTAAGAAAAGCACAGGCCAATAGCAAACATACTTTTGTTTGAAGCACATTACCATATTATAAGTTGGCATCCTATTTTATTTTTAAAGCTTGTATTTTTCAAATCAAATGCAGTTTTGCTCTCAATATCACAACAAACCTGCCCCCTACACTCGAACAACCTCCCTGTTTCCTCATCTACCTTCGCCCAAAGTCCCCCTAACAGCTTACTCATTAGCATTGCCTCATGCCACCAGCTCTCCCAAACATAAAGAATGTTCTCAGCTTTGATTTATGCAGGTGGAACAGCTCCAATAAATCACTGCCTTAGAACTGCTGATAGAAACATTAGCCCTGTTACTGATGCATTTCTCTGCTCTCACTGGCTCAGAGGTGCCCTCAATACAGCAGCAGTAAGACTGCACAGTCCTTGTCCCCAGAAGCTCCTGCTACTTCTTGACTATAAGGAAGGTGCTCTTCTCCCCTCTCCAGATCTTTTTTAGCCTGTAGAAAGAACTGTAGGCATTGAAAAAACACCACAGCCAATGAAGCTCTGCTTCAGACGGCATCTGAATTTCCCCATTCATCCTTTAATTTATTGTATAGATCAGTTTTCTCAAAACTTAATTGTAAGCTAGATTCTTAGTGCACAGTTTAAGATTATTTCTACTCAGGAAGGCTACCTTGCCCTCTAGAATGAAAAACTGATAATAGTTTAGGACTCTCACGCAATATTAAAAGACTAAATGTGAGAAGACTTCAATGAACAATGCACACAAAATAGAGTTCCTAGGGTATCAGAATGCATCTAATTTTATCAACATTACCAAAATAAACTTGGAACTCCTGGGAGAAAATCCTAACAATATTTTAGTATCTAAACATTCCCATTATTCCCACTAAAAATATTTTTGTATGTCAAAATGTAGATGGTGCTGGAGAAAAAAACAGTTATATTTGTTGACATTCTTAACATAGTGTCATATTTTATCTTGTAACAACAAAAAATCATCGGAAATGCTTTGTTAAATATGTATCTGCTACACAACCTGTTAGATACACACACACACACAAAAATCTTTATATTAAATGTTGGTATTTGAAGTAGGTCCGACTTCTGTAATTCACACTTTGTTTTTCAACATCTGTGATCCTGTTGATAAACTTTATAAAAAGGGGAAGGATGTTCAGTCAAGTGGAGCTCCGCAAAGCTACACAGACCAGTTTCTAGGCTTTGTATTTTAGAAAGTGAGTTATCAACATGAACAGATTTAGTCACTGTATTAGTACAATAGCAATATATACCACTGCTAAAGCAGTGCATAAAGCTGTAGCCTCTTTAAAGAACAGCGTGCCTGCCAACACTAACTTGACTGGGAACAAGATTTCATGAATCCTGACATCATTCAGCAAAGTCACACAGCTTCTCAGTATGTGCAAAGCCATGCCTTTAGTTGGATAGAAGAAAGTGGGAGTATAATAGTTTGTCTAGCACTGGTTCTTGAGCAGAAGTATACAATTACATTAGGAGATTTAGAGTCAAGGACAGACTGGACAAAGCTGGGAAGTTCTACTCTCCCAGAATATTATTTGTATTGTAATTCTATGTTTTCCAATGCCTAAAACAACAACAGAAAAGTAAATTTAGATGCAGGAAAAGTAGATTACAGGTTCACTCTCTTATAACAACTGAAGACTGATGTAGGTCTATCAACCTATCTAAACTATCTTCAAAGTTGAGTCATTAGGACTGAACTAGTGAATTACTCCAGTCTCAGAGGCCACTTTTATGATTAGCATCTAAAAAAGTTAGTAGTGAGGCATGCCTCTGACACAAAAGCAAACAAGGTAGCAATGTGATCACTTCCAGATGTCTGTTTTTGCAACTGCTACAGAAGATCTAACCAGCAAGACCCAAAATCAATGGCTTGACTAAGATCACTAAAGACTCAAAACTGCCTCAGAATTGAGAATCTTTCAAAGTTATTCTTGAATTCTAGCATTCACAATGCTAGGCAAAGAACACATTTACATATGGATGATTTTACAGTAGTGAAACATACCTGAATCAGAACATTCTGCTTCACTAAATACCATTAATTTTTGTACCAAATCATTTTTGATGCATTTTGAAGATGGAGAAAAACTGTTACCCCTTAATTTCCACTCTGACCATACATGCACTGGATCATCCCAGCACTTGAGAGACTTCCAGTTGGAAGACTGAAGGCTATGCAGGCCAATGACAATTACAGTCATGTTGAATGTATTCAAGAACCAATTTCCAACACAACTGTCTCACTTTTTATGAAACTACTACTAAGTAAAAACTAAAATAGCTAGAATCTTACAAGCATTCTCCCATCTTTGTTAAGAATCAGAGGTACAATGAACCTTTAGAGCATAATTCTTTTAATATAGTTTCTTGTGGAGTCTGAGGTAAATCATTCAAATGTGTATCAGTATTTCAAGAAAAAAAATAGACCATATCAAGCTGTATAGTCTTGATTTCAATTACAGAGCTCAACTTCGTAGTACTGATGTAAATAATTTCCGTATTATAGAAATCTGATTCCTGCTCCAAACTGAACACCATCACATATCCTGAAAAGACACAAATAACAAACAACATAAGTGATTTATAGCATACTGATGAAATTAAAATTAATTCGCCTTACCCCCAGGCTTCCAAGGCTTTCAGTCTCTGGAAAGTTACAGTTCAAACTTCAGCTGACAAAGGCTCTTTCAAATAAATGCTTTGCCAATCTGTCATCTATATGGAGTGCTTACATTTATAAAATAAAGCCCATCATTTTCAAATTGCTGTTATTCATTCACATTTCACATGAACGACACATAGAAACATAATCTGATTCCTGTACAAAATAGAGTTTCTCCTACACTATTCATGGTACTTCACAGGCAAGAGCCCCAATTAAGCTTTTCTATTACATATTTTAATATTTGCTTGGTGTAGGGTAATTGGTTGCTAACAAATTAGATTAAGTTGTTCTCCCTTTCTTGTTATCTATACAGTTACACTTGTGTTCATTTTTCAAGGAAAGACATTGAGCTTGCTATTTATCCAATCATTTGTTTTTGGAAGGCTTAGGAAAATCCTATGAGCTGTCTGAGTGATCATTTCCCCTAAAGAAATGAAATCTGCTACATAGCTATTTATACTTTTCAACACCTGATGTCAAGTTAAATGAACTCTGAAACCTGATATAAACAGGTTTAAGCTAAGAAGTATTGTGAAACCAACATAAATATAACCAGCTGAAAGAAAAGAGCATCAAGTATTGAAAAAAAATCTCTGAACTGTCACTGAATAAATAAAAGACAGCAGTTCTCTCTGCCAAAACCAGACAGAAGTGCAGTCACTTTAAAAACTAGTTACTGTTAAAGAAATTGGTGTAAAAAACAAACCTGTCACCAGACTGTACTCCCATGGGGAAACAGTAATTAAGTTCCAATCTAGCAATGTTTCCAAGTCGGAGAACTATTCCGGCACCATAAGACCATCGGATATACTCTGCCAGCTTCTGCAGGTGAGCTCTGGGACCATCACCTAAAAGCAAAAGACCAGGAGAACAAGAATCGAAGTAGATGGCCAAGATGTTCAAAGACAAGCTGGAATGCCAGAGCTAGAAGACTGACTACTTGGGAGCACCTTCTGAAGATTAAAAATTTATTACCCACAAATCTTGTAAATGCCAAGTAGTTTGGACTCAAACTACCCACTTCTAAGATTCTGTTTGAGCTTCCTTTCTCATCACAGGGCACCTACTTGCATGAATCCAGAAATGAGTACTAAAACTGAACTAAAAGTCTTTAGCTAGTTCTGCTAGTTTTAAAGCTGATTCATCTGGTTTTTTTGCACTGCATAGAGTACAACCCTCCCACATGGATGCCATCTCTCTTCATCAAGCAAGGGAGACTATATCAAATATCACAATATCCCTGTACTGTTTTTGTCTGAGATAGAATTAACTTTCTTCATAGCTGCCCATATGGGTGCTATGGTGCTTTGTTTTGGATTTGTAAACAGTACAGTGTTGATAACACATTGACGTTTCAGCTATTACTGAACATTACTTATGCAGCACCAAAGCTTTCTCCATATCTCTGTCATTCCACCCCCCAGCAAATAGGTGGGCAATGGATGAGAATCAGAGGGAAAGCACCTGGGACAGCTGACCAAAACCAACCGAAGGGATATTCTGTACCATATAACATCACTCTCAGTAATAAAACCAGGCTGAAGTTTGCCCGGTGTTACTGTTGTTTGGGGCCTAGCTGGGCATCAAAGAAAAATCCCTTCAACTACCACACCTTCTTCTATCCTCTAGTGCCACCACTTTTTATTTAGTCCATCCCCAAAAACGTGAGAGTATCACTGTAACATCACTTTCCAGTCTCCTTTTAGAATGTTATAAAACAGCAGGCATGATTCAACTACCCCACACTAGTTTATGAACACCAGCAATTCACAGATTTTGATGTTGCCATCCTAGCTCTCTTTCCTATAAGTTGTGCTATGATTTATGCAAGGAGTAAAAAAAACCAAAACCAAAAACAAACAAACAAACAGAAAAAACCACAAACCACTGGCAATCCACCAAACATGCAAGTTAACAGCAACAGCTTTTTGACAGCCTCCAAAATATGGGTAGTAAACAAATTGCTTTTGAATAAATACTCATAACAGTTCTCTTCTACTTTACAAGGCTACTGAGTCTTACCATAGTTAAGATTGCAGAGATTTCCAGCATTGAGGAAGAAATGTGTTCGGAAAAGGTCTCCAAAACCTCCTCGACCTGGCCGGAAAGGTAGAGGAGTGTACAGATGCAAGCCTCCAGCCCAATAGGCATCTCCTCCCAAGTAATCACCTATTTATGGAAATGCAGAAATCAAAGCATTTACTGTGAAATACACGAAAAGACCCAGCTCTTAAAGGTACATCCCCAAGTTGTTCTTAAAGGAAGGGGGAGGAGGGAAAGGGGAGAAGGGAACTCTGGCACCTACTTACTTATTTTAGGAAAAAATATACACTGGTGAAATTCCCTTTAAGAAATGTTAGAAAATGGTGTGTATTTTTATGCACAAAAAGTCTAAAGTCAGTACAAAGAGAACAAATGTAACATTAACCTACGCAAGTACAAACACAGGATTGTTTTATAGATGTAACTATGTCTTAACTAAGAGCAACTGGGCTTTTTTCCATTGAAAACGAATATATAATGACAGATCAAAGACCTAACAAGTCCTAAAAGGGAGCAATTATTCTAAAGCTATGAAAAGCTAAAGGATAGAATGTGAGTCTTTGTTACACACTAATACTTCCAGCATTGTTGGAAGAGTGGGATTTGAATGTTTCAGACCTTCATTCTGGGGTCCAATGCTGTACATACTGAATCCTCGCACGCTTGTTGGTCCACCAAGGTAAAACCTAGTGAATACAGTCAAATTTAGGTTAATGCTTTACTTGTAAGGGTGTATTTGAAACTATCTACTCATACTTTTAACACTGCTTTTCAGAGTTATGGGTGACCTTATAAAAAGCATTGTACAGTACATTTAAAGCAATAAATTACATAAAAATCAAAATCCTGACACATTTAGCAAAAATTTCAAACTAAATCAAGTATTAAACATCAAAACTAGTTTTCCATCATTTACAAAGATGAAAATAGAAAGTACCCCAATACTGAAGAATCAGAACCCTGAATCTCAATCTGTTGTAAGAATTTTGATAGAAATACTCTAGTTAAGATCCATTATATGCAAAGTTAACACAACTGACATTTAGCACTTCTTGTAAATAAATTTAAATCTAAATGCTTTCTGCTAGTGATCTTTAAAAGGAGGTGTTGGAAGGCAAAATTAGAAATAAAGCTATTATTCTAACTTGACTTTATTGGTAAAGCTAACTACAGTGCTAACTATGCCCAATATGAAATTTTGGAGACGGTAAATACTCGTTTGCGATTGCAAACATTAGCAGGCAGAGCTACTACTTAGCAATAACAAATTTATCCCTCCCCAATACGAAAATGAAAAACATAAGACTTGTTTTGATTATTAACATGCAACTAAAGCAAATTTTATTTTATTATCCTCAAAATCAGAGCTACTTCTGCTTCTCTCTTCTGCTATACCATTTTTTTCATATATTACCTGGGTTGACTGCAAGAAATTAAGAAACATTTAGAATGAACAAACAAACAAACTTGCCTATCAGCTATACTGGATGGCTTGTCTCCAATAGGTACTAGCATTCCACCCCAAAGGGATGCCGAAAACACCTTTGGAGGAAAAAAATAAATAAAATATATATTTTTTTATTTTTTAACAAATACATATTATTTAGTTTCCCTAAAAACGGTGTTAGTAAATTTCCATTGCTTAGTGAAGGCAGAGCTCCCATTAATCTGACAGAAAGTTGCAAATGTGCATGCATGGATATCACACCTTCAGTAATTGTATTTTCAGGAAACTCATTGCTGCCCTCTTTCTACACTATGCAGTGCTACATCTCGAAGTAGGACTTTAAACCAAGAGCTACTTTCACAATAGCTAAGGGAACACTCATGCAGCTCCTACTTACTTACAAATTTTCGCGCCTTGAAGTAAGACAACACCTGTTGACATAAATTACTTCTGGCAATGTTAAACCTGTAGAAGGCTAAGTCCAGCAAATAGCTACCAGTAAAGTACAATTATTACCTGCCTGTAAATTAGCCTTGTAAGTAAATCAAACTACATCTATCTTCTATAACTCACTATGTTGACATACATTCCATATCACATTATCACAGAATTGCCTAGGTTGGAGGAGACCTCAAGATCATCAAGTCCAACCTCTGACCTAACACTAACAAGTCCTCCACTAAACCATGCCGCTAAGTTCAACATCTTAACGTCTTTTAAAGACAGCCAGGGATGGTGACTCCGTAATAACTGCTTATTTATCTATTTCTTGGGAGACAGATACTCTAACAAACATATTTATTCATTTGCCTCTTGTCTGTGTACAAAGCAGAAGTACTACTACCAAATGGTGAGATCTATTGCTAATACCAAGGCTACGAGTGTTGGATAATTCCCCTGGTCTACACACCACTCCTGCTATGTTCTGTCCTGAGAGTCCCAGACACCTCCCCTGTCATAAGCACATGTGAACTCATCATGAGGTACAAGCACATCTCGTTACACAGCACATGCAAAGGCCAGTTGTACCCAAGTCCACACTCATGGACAAGGGATCACATAAAATTATGTACACCTTATGATGAGATTTGCTTCACTTTCATTCGCTTTCATTTCATATTAGTAGCCATGGGAAGAACAAAATCCTTTTTATCTAGCCAAGAAGTCATTGAATTACTTCATAGTAGGATATCCTGTCTTGGTCAACTGAAGGTCAGCAAATATATATTTCATTTCTAAAAACATAAATCAAAGTATCTACACCATCAATCTTTCACTTTCATCATATTTTTCTAATCCATGGTGAAAAATCATCATAAGACACTGATTGATTCAGTAACCTCATTTGTTAATTCAATTAATAAGATATCTTTTAAAAAAATTACCAAATCCCAGAGAAGCTGCTTATTCAACTGAAATTCAAAATCCTCTTTCAGAAATCTCACGTCTCCACCTGTATAGCCAGCCAGCTCCTGCAAAGACAGAAATTTAAAGTTGTAAAGCGTATTATGTGTTTCTTTCAACACAAAATCACCATGCCTGCATCATCATAAGCAGTGTTTTCTGAATAAGAAACACAGACATTGGATATTGAGACACCTGAGTTTTGGAGCAATGAAAAAACAAACATAACCGTTTTCTTTCCATTTTCTAATCATTTTCTTTCCCCCATTTACTGTATAAGGCTATTAGAAAATTTACTGTATAAGGCATTAAAAAAAATTCAATTTTCTAACCATTTTCTTTCTCCCAAATACTGTATAAGGCTATTGCTTTCTAAACCATTTCCATAAATGAGGATACAAGAGAATGGAGCTTGAAAATTCAGCACCTGAAATCAAACCTCATTTTATTTACCTAGGACCTGAGATTTCATATGCACTAAAACAGGGCTGAAAAGACAAAGACAAATGACTGTATTACACCAACACTAGCTGAATAGAATAAGTGACTGAAGCAGCGTTACAGGCAGCGTGTAACAATATGCTAACTAAATTCTGAATTATAACCACCTTCCTTAATCAGAATAGTTCACTGCTGCTTACAGAACAGTAGCACTTCTATTTCCAACGGCGTTTCAAAGCAGTCTGCTTCTGGAACACTCCAGAAGTTAATGCTTCTGAAGCATTAACCCATACAGCAGCAAAGCTAGCTTTTCTAAAAGTTCTAAACATAACAAGAGTAAAAACCATTTTCTGTGTTAAAATAATACATGTGTATGTGCCTTTGAGAGTTATTTTTACCCTATCTTTCAATTTTAATTCTAAGATTTGCAAATTTTTTAAGTAGCAATATGACCACAGTCTGGTAGCTTTACCATGCAGTGACAGTAAACAGGAGACTAGTATCTGCCATCTAGTGTAGAAACTGTCAGGGATAATGCATCTCAGCTAATAAATTATTTAGTGCTAATGGCACAAAATGAGCTGCATTGTTTTACTAATGGTATACAAATGAAAATTTGCTTCTGTTAAAAAATCACAATTTTTAAAAAGTAACTACTAGTCTTCATTGTATCTTAGTCAATTTACAATTAATTTAATTTCAGGCATTTTTTAATATGAATGGTAGTTAAATAAAACAAGAGTTACTCAAACACACATATAATATCCAGTTATGTATAAATGATTTAATACTACCTGATTAATTTTCAGCAAAGCACCTCGTTTTGGCAAGATTGTAGAGTTCCGGGAATCAATTACCATGGCATGCTGAAAAGAATCAACTGATTATTTTTCAGTTCACTTATCTATTGAATACCACAGAGTGACACTATTATTTTCAATCAAAACCTGTGCACACAGTGGAAGACAGCCACAGTTCCAGCTAAGGCTTGTGTAGCTCCATGGATTTGGAAACAATATTCCGACAGAGTAACTTCGTTTTGACTTTAGAGGCCACATCATATATATTTGTAATTTTTGGTCATGGTACACATCAGAAATATGGCAACAATGCCTCAGCGTGTATCAGAAACTATTTGCAGTTACTGTCACAAAATTCATCTCCTACAATGTGACCTACAGATCAAAGATGACAAGCAATCAAAAATTGCTTGTATTTAGAAACAGCAGAACAATCATAGGATGAAGAACATGACTGATACTGTCTTCTGCAAAGTAAGATAATACTGCGAAGATAGATGGCAGATGACAAGGAGGTTCTTTTACACAGCCTTGAAGAAAGAATGGGCCAGCCTATGTAACAGTCAAAATGCAACAGTCAATTTTTCAAAGTGTCTTCTCTTTGGACCTCCTGGGTGAGTGCATGAATGACCAAGCATGGCAAAAGACATCCGAAATAAAACATACTACCTACTAGGAAATAAGACAAAAAGCTCCTTTGCAATCATTCAAAAATATGAGATTACTCACAATAACACATGCCACATTTAAAATGAGTAAAAGCCTTACAGAGAGGGAAGATTTCAGAGAGTGTCCGCTTTCTTCTCGAACGGAGAAGGACGCTGTTCTAGCAAGGCAGCCAAGCTCTCTCCACACACCCTCCCACTTCAGTGTGTGATTGGTCTTCCAGATTGGAAACTACAAAAAAAAAGGGCAATTTTGCTACAAATTAAAATAAACAAGGCTCTCTCAAATCTTATTTATACACGAGTCTATGCTTTTTCTTTCCAAACTTTTTGCCTCAGGGAGAAATAATTCATGTGGGAATAATTCTGCTCCAACCAAGAGAGTTTGAAAAAAAAAAATATCTTGAACTAGATTGAGTGAGGCAACCACGTGTCTTTCTAAAATGCTGCTTTAAACATTAAAAATGTGAAGAAAAACACATTGAGCATTTTTATGTGGCGAAAATAAAATGACATTCTAGAAAAGACTTACAATGTATTACCTCTGTCATTTTAAAATTGACATCTTTTAAATAGTAACAAATTTGCCCTGTGCACAAGTGTTTCAGTCACTTTTCACACAGTAAAGCAAATATTTGCAATATATTTGCAAATATTTGTGAGTTGAATTAAATGTAAATGAAGCATGTATTCCACAAACACCTCTGCTACACTTACATTAAGTTCTGTTGATATTCCTCTATCAGTTTCACGAAGAGAGCTCCAAGGGAACTGTCCAGTTACTTTATACAGGTTAACTGAAAAACTGAAACAACATTACTGGTAGATTTGCAAGTGAAGCTATTTAAGTAGATGGAATTTTACACTATCACAAAAAAAAAAAAAAAAAAAAAAAAAAAAAAAAAAAAAAAACACAGATCTACTACGTTACTTCAGGACCCTCAACAAAGGAATAATTTTAGTTATTACTCAATGAAATATCTTAAAATTTCATTAAAAAAGAAATACTTAGAAATGCATTCCCTACTTTCTTTCAAAGTTTCCAGGCTGTGGTTTGAAGAACGACAGGCCATATGAAGTTTCCTTTGTTCCATATGAGAACTGGAAGGTTACCTTTTCTGCACGTCCAAAGAGATTGGGGAACTTGAGCCCAAGTACCTAAATAAATTAAAAAAAAAAAAAAAATACAGTTATCAGTTTGCTAAATTGCGTCTTAATCATATGGTGAAGATATGCACATCTACCCTAAGAATGCGAAATAAAGGCATTAAAAAATACTTGTAACTGAATGTGTTGTTCTTGTAAATTAGGTTTCTCTTTGCAATGGCAGCAGCCATTGCAGTAGCACAAGTTACGTTTAGTATCATCATCCAATCTTTAGTGCTGTCCAATACCTGCTGACATAATCTGCATTCTCTGTATCATCAGTACTGCTATTATTTCAAGCAAAATTTCCCAGCCAGTCTGGGATAACAAATATTTGGCAACTGCAGAGTTTCCAGCTGATCATCAGGAAAACTATCTGCCAGGTAGGGTTCACTGGTACCACAGCAGTAAGCCAATAGAAAATCATCAATACAGAGCCACTTACAAATTTTTGTTTTGAGGAACAAAATATTTTTGCAATCAGTCCTGACAGCAGCACAATGTACCATCACAATTTTCCAGAAACTGTAATTAAATGTTTTCCCGTTCACACAAAAATTCCCTGTATCCTATTCACAGTACTTGGTCCTTTGGCAGAAATGATGGAACGAGTTTCCCCCAGTCGCAGATACATCCAGGATTGTTCTGTTGTGTGTACTATTTTAAAATACCATTAAAAAGACAAAGTTGATCAGGTTTTTAAAGCTAACAGCTATTGGAAGGAAATCAGTCATCTGAACTTTGTGATGGTGGCTACTATGCAATTATCCAACTAGAAACCACTAATCCAAAGGGCTATTAGTACAAAATATTATATCAACAGGCTTCAGATGAATTTAAGGGATTAGAATAGATGTCAAATCAATTTAACTCTTAAAGAAACAATCTCTGCTGCCACAATTAGTTGTATAAATGAACATGCTTTTATATTGTTCGAGTGTTTTACTTCTCTGTAACAAATGAAAATTAAATTGATAGGGAAGCTGTGTAAAAAAAAAAAAAAAAAAAAAAGAGAGAAACCAAGGTAGTTTTCAGATTGTTTTCAAATTGCACTAGACCTGAGCATTGGGTTTATGTGTCAAGGTTGTCATAGCAAGGGGGGCTGCAGGGATGGTCTCACCAAGAGGAGACCAGGAACTGCCCCAAGTCAGGTAAGAGCCAGTTGCAAAATTCTGTACCAATTTCATTCAGACCATGATATCCTGGGCATTGATCTCAGTAGCAGAGCTGCATAACCATTTCTCAGTTCACTAGGTTACTATTTGCCCTGCACTCACAAAAGACCAGTACCTGACTTGTGCAGTATCTTATCCAGTATCTTATACTTGTGCAGTATCTTATCCAGTTAAAAATACCCCTAGGAAGAAAAAGATGAGTCCCTTGATCTGGCTTATCTAGCAGGCCCAAGACGAGCTAAACTGTGCACATGAGAAGACACAACAGGTACAGGAATGAGCACATGAAAGCAGGATCTATTTAAACTAGCACCACTGTTAAAGCCATGTTAACAGAACAACAGTATGTCTGTTAGTTTTTGTGTTAGTCGGTATATATTTCTCACACCATATTTTAATCTGATGCATTCTTAAGTGAATAAAATGGAAATAAGTCCCATGGTTTATAATGGTCATGGAAAAACCTAGCATTCTGCTACCCAGATATATATATATATATATATATATATATATATGTATGTATGTATGTATGTATGTATGTATGTATAACTACTAGTGAGCTAAAATAAGTGAAAAATTAGAACAATTTTTAAGTCAAACCTCAAGTATTCTGATTGAGAAGAAAAAACATTTAAATAATTCTCAAAGAAGCTAGATGCCAAACTGCTTAATGGTTTCTCTAGTAAATAAAGCATCTTAAATACTATCAATAAATAACTGAATTCATTTTAAGAATTAAAAAAAAAAACAAAAAACATACTGAGGTGGAACAACTAATTTGTGTTTATACGAAGTTCTTCTCTCATGTGAAACAGGCTTTTGCTGAGTGAAAGCCTGACTAATACAAAGGCTCTTCATAGACAAAAGTCTGACAAAGCCTTAGTAAAGCTGGATCAAGAAAATAATTTGGATTGGATCAAGTCCTCACTTATCTAATCATCAAATTCCTTGCTAGGTTTGAAACATGAAAGCAAGAGGAATATCAACAGGAATCAATTAATATTTGAAATGATCCGTACCATACTGCCTTCATTGTTGCCAACCATAGTGTTATAGCTTCCAGTTAGTCTTCTTAATTCTGTTACCTCAAAGGTTACATCTAAACCATTTGGAAGGGCATCATCTCCTAAATAAATAAGAAGCATCATCTCTAGATGGTTACGTAAATAAATAAATAAATAAATAAATAAATAAATCCAAACCCACAGACATAAGATTACTTGATTTTTTTTTTTTTTAAAACTGGTTGAATTGAACAATAATAAAACCCCAACATTACAAAGATAAACAGCTCGAGGAAAAGATCATGAAGGGTCTAGAAGGCAAGATGTATGAGGAAGAGAAGCAGTCACAGCACCAAGCCTGACAGAGTTCAACTCTCTCAGACATGGGGTCTGATTTGATTTTTGGGTGGTCCTGTGTGGAGCCAGGAGTTGGACTCAGTGATCCTTGTGGGTCCCTTCCAACCGAGGATATTCTATGATATTGAGATATTGTTTGGATGTGCATTCAGAATTTTTTTCAATCAAAGTGCATCTGGCTTTAATCATCAACATGCTAGCTTAATAATGAATTAGCAATATTTATTACCCACCTACTAAAAACAAAGCCATACACAAATTCTTACGTTACATGAAATATAAATTAAAGTGGTCCAGACATGTCAAGAATAATGCTGTCAACTAGAGCAGAGCTCCCAGCACTTTGTGGCTAAGTGCTGGACAACAAAAACCATCCGGTTCCCTCAGGGCGCTGGCTGAGGCAGCTGTTCAAAAAACACAGCTGTCAGGGGTACCTAATTCTGCTTGAAGCAACTGGGACAGCAGCCCATCACTAACAGCCTGTGCAACTGCACTGCATTTCCTTCTCAATAATGCCACCTTCTTCTGCTGAAAAGAACACTGAGGTTGCAAAGCGATCACAAGACTGGAGATGCCAAATGAGCCTTATTGAGCAACCTGCATACACACAGCTGCCCCATATGTGTAAGACCGTTTTTAATTACAAGCATTGATACAATTACTAGTATTTCCATTAAGCACAACAAATATGTTGATATAATATCACTTAAGTGAGTTTAATACATGGAAGTACAGGAAGTACTTTCAAACTCTTCCTCAAGCGTTTATCCTTCCTCTAAAAATTTGCATTAAGGGATGTGTACTGTAATTATTTCAATGCTTGAAATTCACTCATTTTTTCAAATATACAAGTAATAATTATACACATATGTGCAGCCACAGGCAAATACGTCTTTTTCATCTGGATATCAGATGTAGGCACATACATTCTTATACATAGCACACCTACACGTATACCTAAAATATACAAAGCTCTCTCATATACCTTTATAAGTTATATACACAAAAAATGCCTGACCTATAGCACAGGGAAAAGTACATTATGTGTGTCTGTGTGTATGAAAAAAAGGCGAGAATTAATGAGGCAATACATACCTTGACAGGTATCAATCAGAACCTCTACCTGTCTAAAGATTCCTAGACGAAGCAACTTTTCACGAGCTTCATGTGATTTTCTCATTACCTACAGGATGAGATAAATAGCTCAGTCTTTCAGCTTACTAAAATAACTAGCATAAAACAAGATGCTGCTAAATCATGCAATATTCACAGATTTTGTATACACAGATATATACATATATGTATGTGCCTTCAAAATAATCACAACCCACTTCTATCAAGAAATCTATCCAAATCTATCAAGAAATTAAACCCAGAGCATCTGGCTTAATTTCCTACCTAGCTTGCATCCTAGTTGTTAGAATGCTTAAACCTATTATTCAAATTCGTTTCAGTACTTAAATCTTACACATCTATTTACTGGACCCATGCTTTTCACAAAAAAATAAAAAAAACACATTATCCTAATCTATTAAAATCTAGACCAGTCTACACGTAAAGACTTAATGACTCCTTTGCACTTTTTTACAGTGCTAAAAGGAAAGATGCCTAAATTAAAAAGTTGGCACGCACACTTCATCCAATTTCAAACACACACTCCTTTTCTGCCCCAACTGGAGATAAAACCCAGTGAATCTCATTATGAATTCAGATGCATAATCAAGCACTACAGAGGGACATCTAGTCAGAAAATACACACAAAACAAGAATTTTGTCTTCATTGTGTACTTGACCTTCACAGCCAGAGCAAGATAATTTACTGCCAGCTGTACTCCAGAAGGAATCACCACCTGGAAGTGCAAGGACACACAGCCTAACTTACGCTTTCATCCATTGTAGAGACTGCCACTGGTCATTTTTGCTGAGCTCCAGTAACTTTTCTTAAGCAAATTACTTGAAATTAATTGATGTGATTTTTTTGGACTTCAGCAAGGCTTTTGACACGGTTTCCCATAGGATCCTACTGGACAAAATGTCCAGCATACAGCTAAACAAAAACATCATACGATGGGCGAGCAATTGACTGATGGGCAGGGCTCTAAGGGTTGTGGTAAATGGGGCCACATCTGGCTGGCGGATGGTCACCAGTGGGATCCCTCAAGGCTTAATTTTAGGGCCAGTCCTCTTCAATGATTTATAAATGATTTGGATGTAGGACTAGAAGGTGTTTTGAGCAAATTTGTCAACGACACCAAACTTGGAGGAGTTGTGGACTCTGTTGAGGGTGGAAAGACCTTGCAGAGAGATCTAGACAGATTGGAGAGCTGGGCGATCACCAACCACATGAAGTTTAACAAAGGCAAATGCCGGGTCCTGCACCTGGGACGGGGCAACCATGGCTATATGTACAGACTGCGTGACGACACACTAGAGAGAAGTACCACAGAGAGGGATCTGGGGGTTGTGGTTGACAGCAAGTTGAATATGAGCCAGCAGCGTGCCCTGGCAGCCAGGAGGGCCAACTGTATTCTGGGGTGCATCAAGCACGGCATTACTAGTTGGTCGAAGGAAGAGATTGTCCTGCTCTGCTCTGGTGCAGCCTCACCTCGAGTACTGTCTGCAGTTCTGGGCACCACAGTACAAAAAGGACATTAAGCTGTTGGAGAGTGTCCAGAGGGGAAGACATATGAGGAGTGGCTGAGGTCACTGGGCCTGTTCAGCCTGGAGAACAGGAGGCTGAGGGGGGACCTCATAATGGTCTACAACTTCCTCATGATGGGGAGTGGAGAAACAGGTGACCTATTCTCCGTAAATACCAGTTGTATGACTTGCGGGAACGGTGTTAAGCTGAGGCAGGGGAAGTTTAGGCTGGACTTCAGGAAGAGGCTCTTCACCAAGAGGGTGGCTGCACACTGGAACAGGCTCCCCAGGTAAACAGTCACTTCACCAAGCCTGTCTGAATTTAAGAAGTGATTGGACTGTGCACTTAGTCACATGGTCTAAACTTTTGGGTATACCTGTGGGGTGCCTTGGAGTTGGACTTGATAATCCTTATGGGTCCCTTCCAACTCGGGATATTCTATGATTCTATGAAAACCTCCCCTATACTGTTAGCAATTCTCAAACAGGAATGGTGAAGCTGAAAATACGCGATTACTGTTTGCCATCTCTCAATGCCTTTGAGCTAAACACATCAGAAAATACAGTATTCCAGTATTGCACATTTAAGTTTGTCTTCCATATGACAAGCTTAGAATCATCACAAAACTAGGCAACGTTGCATCACATCTGAGAAAAGCCCAATGCAGGAAGATAGAAAACCATAACATGAATTTTTAAATCGAGGTTTCATTCACTATAGTACTTACATCAATGAGATTTTTAGCCTTGAAAACATCAGAGATTTCATACATGATAATGTCATCTTTGGTCCTTCCAAGTCCATCGAAGTGTACATGCTGAACGACCACCTAAACGTAACAGATGTTGAAACACAAATACTGAGCTTGCATCTAACAATGAGCATCAAAACCAGCTATACATAAAAAAGTGTTTTTTTTGTTTTGTTTTTTGTTTTTTTAATTATTATTACTTTTTTAAGTGAAAAAAAAATCCTGAATATTCCTAGATCAATTACTGCTAGCCTAGATCAGGAGAAATCAGTGCCATCTACGTTTCTGGAAAACTGTTCCTTTAACAAGAAAAGTAAAGAGAAAAAACTCGAATAACCAAATCTAATACTGTTTAGAGCAGAAGAGACAGTAGTGGAGTATTGCTGCTGGGGTTTCCTAAGTGTTAGATGGTGAAATAAGACACCACAGAAATAATATTAACATATTGAGACACTTAAAGCAAAGCATGTTTTTAGCTGTAGTTTAGCCATTTCTTGCATCAGCTACACATAAGGAAAAAAAAAAAAAAAAAAAACACCTCAAATCATATATATTTAAACTATTAAAATTCTTACTACCACTGGAGCTTTGTAGTTTAAAGTGCATATTAATATCACAGCATTATCTCTTTTCTTAAATATATTAATCTTTTTGTATCATCAACTGAGACCATTTTATGTTAAAAATCACAACAGATTCCAGGTTAGCTGATGCAGTAACTGTAGTGTATTTGAATTTCCCTTATTTTTCCAAACTTTTCAGTGTATTATAATTTTAGGGATAACTACCAAAAAATCCTGCAAATGCTTCATGTATTTGTAATGAATAAGATAGCAGAATAAGAACAATCTACCATTAATGCAAATTGCATAATAAAAAAAAAAATCAGAATAAATATGAAATAAACAAAATAAAATAATAATTAAAAATATATATATTACCAAGCTTCTAGGGCAATAACTCTGAATTGAATAAGGAAAAGGAAAATTATACAGAAACTATGATGATGCATGATATCTCTTCCCACTAGTATGGTTAAAACTATTATGAGCCAAAGCAGACATATGAAATAAAAAGCAAAATAGAACAGAAAAACATCTTTTGCTGAAGTTTACCATAGTGACATAATTCATGCAGTGGCCGTTTACCCAAAACATGGCTAAACATATAATCATAGAATGATTAAGATTGGAAAAGAACTCCAAGAACTGGTCCCAGCCACTGCTCTACCACCAATATCCCCCACTAAACTATGCCCCTAATACTGCACTCAAGCAGATTAAGGACTTTTACATAGTTTGCTGCTAAACAGTATTGCAGGGCAGAAATCTCTTATGAAAGAAGGAAGAAAACAGCATCTAGAAACAGGTCTATTAGCTCAAACTTTAATAATAACCCCTGTGGCAAGTTAAAAAAGGACAGAAACTAGGCAATAACAGATTAAATTTACGGTACTATATTTAATTCTTTCACATCTCACACCATAGTTTAAAAAATTCCTTCAGGAAAAACATGAAAGTGCCCTAAGACATTTATGTTAAGAAAAAAAACATAAGGATGTTGACGTGGTACTTACATCTTTGTTTTCAAGAATTTCCTGCTTGGTTTCTGGTTCAACTTCAACCAGCTCAGCTTCCTCTCCCAAGGCACCAAAGTCTGGCCCACTCATTGGAAGGGGCTCCAAACTCTGAAAGTATACAAAAAAGCTCCATTTAATATAGTCCATGATTTGCAAGTTGTCTTCTTTAAAGAAAAATGATGGTTCCTGACCCTGTGCTCATCAGGTCACAGGGGAGCAAAAAAGCTAAACAGAACAACTAAAGTGAGGGGAATTACCAGCATACTTGTTAACTATGTGCTTACTGACAGTTTTAGTGAAAGAAAAATAGCTTCCATGATTTATCAAAATAATACTGCCCTCTTCCAAGAATAACCTTATTTGTAAAGCATGCATCCTGTGTTAAGTATGAACTGTACCTTTTTTTTTGTTGTTTTGTTATTATTTTAAAATAAGTGAGCCAACACTTAGCTTGGGTTTCTGGGAGTAAGAGGAGTGCAAAGGATGAACAATGAAGAAAAGAGGTGTGTTCAGTGCACTACTTTGCTTTACGTACATTTTTACATACTTTTGTATTTTAATGTCTTTTAAAAGCATCCTTCTCCATCTAAGTAATGTTCAAGAACCTCAGTCCCCATCCATCAGAGCTCTTCAGGTGAGTGTCGTAATCAAAATGTTTTGCAGTACATTATGGCTTTGTCTTGAAAGAGCCCTACAGTAATAAGACTCTTAACAGAAGACAATGGAATCAAGCAAGAGTGAATATAGGTTTACCTGCAAAATCAGAAGTCAGGATTGGATAACTCTGTAAACACACTTTTAGTCTTAAATCACTAATTCAGTACTTGCTGCATTATTTAAGAATTACTGGAATAGCAAATTCCTGTTACACATCAGAAACAAGTTAAAACAGTCCTTCCTTGCTCTCAATAGCTCTAAGGCAAATACAGAATGCACTCCCTCCACATGATATTGAATAGCAATTCACAGATGAATGTGAAACCAAAAATAGGAGAAAAATATCAAAACATAACTTAAGTCATGGTAATGAGGTTCAGCAAGGCCAAGTGCAAGGTGCTGCGCCTAGGTCGGGGTAATCCCACACATGAGCACAGACTGGGAGAACAACTCATTGAGACCAGCTCTGCAGAGAGGACTTGGGGTTCTGGTGGACCAAAAGCTTGGCCTGAGTCAGCAATGCATACTTGCAACCCAGAAGGCCAACTGCATCCTGGGCTGTAGCAAGAGGGGTGGCCAGAAGCAGGTCGACGGAGGGGATTATCCCCCTCCCTGCCTTATAAGGCCCCACTTGGAGTGCCGCAGCCAGCTCTGGGGCCCCCAGCAACAGAAGCATGTAGACTTCTTAGAGCGGGTCCAGACGAGAGCCACAAAGATGCACAGAAGGCTGAAGCACTTCTGCTTTGGGACTACAACCACAGTTAACCCACGTCGCGATTGCAGGCATCTCCAGGTCGGCTCCCCTGGGTCGCGTTAAGGGAAAGACAGCTGGGCCGCTCCGCGGGGCCACTGATTGCCCCAAGGTCAGCGCAGGGAGCCGCCGGCCGGGACAGGCCGCTCCCATGTCCCCGTGCCCCCCCAGAGGGAACCCGCTCGGCCACCCGGTGACGCAACCCGGACCCGCCCGAAGGTCGCCGAAGGGAGAGCTTGGTGGAGGCAGCGAGGCCACCCTCTCGCGGTCCCTGCCCTCCCGCTGCCCGCGGCGCGGCCCCTACCCGGGCGTACACGGTGCCCATGGCGGCGGCGGGATCGACAGAGGCCTCTGGTGCTCAAGGCCGCAGCGCGGGGGTGGCCATGACAGGTGGCACCGCCCCGGCTCTCATTGGGTGGCGGGGGGGAAGCGGTGGGGCGGAGCCAGCGGCGCACGGATGTCGCAAAATGGCGGCGCTCGGGACACGGGCGGGGTCGTGGGGCTTGATGGAGGGGTAGAGGGGAAGGGGCCAAGGGAGACGTCGAGGCTGTCTCCGTCGTGTTTAGAAAGTCGTGGCGGTCAGGTGGAGTCACCGATGACTGGAAAAAGGGAAACATTGCTCCCGTTTTTAATAAAGGGTAGAAAGGAGGACCCAGGGAACTGCAGACCAGGAGCCTCCCCTTTGTGCCTGAGAAGTTCATGGAACAGATCCTCCTAGAAGCAACGTTAAGGTACATGCAAGACAAAGCTTCACCAAGGACAGATTCTGCCTGACCAATCTGGGCCTTCAGTGGTAGAGTGACTGTATCAGGTGACAAGACTGACCTGTCACCTAGGTGGACTTCTGCAAGGCCTTTGACAGTCCCACATGACAACCAGATCTCTCAAAATTGGATGTGAAGGGCAGACCTTTCAGTGGGCAAGGACTTGGCTTAAAAAAAAAAAAAAAAAAAAAGGCAGGGGATCATCCCTCTTGCCCTTGTGAGGCCCCACTTGGAGTATTGCGTCCAGCTTTTAGATCCCCAACACCAGAAGGATGCAAGGATATTAGAGTGAGTCCAGAGAAGGGCCGCAAAGATTCTCAAAGAACTGGAGACCTCTCCCATGAAGAAAAGGTGAGAGGGATGGGGCTGTTCAGCCTGAAAGAGAGGATTCCAGGCTGATCTCACTGCAGCTTTTCAATACTTACAGGGGGGCTCATAAGAAAGATGGAGAGCATATTTTTGCTCAGGCAAATGACAGGAAAATAGTGATTGGTTTTAAACTAAAAGAGGGTGTATTAAGATTAGATTTTGTGAGAAAATTGTTCAGTCAGAGGGCGGTGAGGCACTGGAGCCCAAAGAATGGAGGCCCTATCCCTGGAGATGTTCAGGACCAGGTCAGATGAAGCCCCGGACAATCAGATTTAATGGGTGGCATCCCTGCCCCTGGAGCAGGGGCATTGAAACTGGATGATCTTGCAACCCAAGCCATTCTATGATTCTATGAAATTAATGCATTCTGACTTAAGTTGCAGTCAGTCAGTTATACTGCAGAAAGCTTAGTAACAAGAAAATGTGGTAACAAAAGACTGTCTTTTTATTTTAGAAGAATTAGACAAAATTGGAGCTATGCAGAATGGAAGAAGGGGATAAGATTGCTTTAAATCTATTTAGTAGAACTACCTCAGTACATAGAAAGCAGAACTTGGCAATCACACTTAAATTCTAAAAGATACTGTTAAAACTAATTGTATGATGCTCTGTTAAATGTTACAGAAAACTTGAGACAATAAAACTCAGAAGTTCTATCTTTTAGTTGTGGTTACAATAACAAATGTTGTTACAATTACAATTCTTGCAAATTTAAAAATACATACAATAAGTGAATAAAGCAGTTGAAGTAAAATAGCACCAGTCTTCTGTAACATAAAATTGATAGCTTGACAGTTTCTTCCCTGTCCCCCACCATTCTGAAATCATTTTAATGTTGTAAAATTTAGCACTTCGAGCGTAGCGAAATCTGAGAAACACAGAAACCATTTAAAGGCTGGTCTGATTGAGAAACACTAGATTTTGCTATCTGAAAGATTTCTACATAGCATAGTTGACACTACAGCAAGAGACAGACATGCCCTTTTCTTCCCTCCTGAGCATCACATTCCTAAACCCTGCTACTCCTTTTACAGGATGCTTTCAGTAAGCATGCAGAGTCTCTTCCCTGGACTGCACCTGGATTGCCCAGAATTCATATTCTTGAAAGCGAAGCCTTCAAACATCATAGACCTGCCCCATCCCACATGCGTAACCTGATCTCTGAAGACACAGTTGTTGCCTTCTTCTGTAAAAACAACTGTGTCAAAGACATGATACCAAAACATCAAGAGGGGAGTTAATCTCAGCAGTTACTTATTTTTCCTGAAGTATTCATACACTGATATGTTGTCTTTATTAAAATTATACATAATGTTTGTAGTGGGGTATTTAAAATCCTCATCACTCAACACAGATAAGAGTTGGCTGGTTTTCAAATCATTATTTGAGGCCTTTGCACATGGCCCTGGATATTGCTACTTTGATAAGTCTTTTTTGCTTCTTCCAACAATTGTTCTTAGAAAGCTTCCTTTGTGCTATCATACCTCACTGAGAGAAAAGACCTTTTTTTCTTCACCCCTCTAGCAAGAGGGAAGTGAAAGGAGAGAAAAAGAATATCTCAAGCAAGGCAGGGGAAATTATCAAGAATGATTGGGTAGCAATTAGAAGACCAAAACAACATCCACCACTTTCTATACATTGATGTATGTTAATATTTGCCATAAAGTTAAACACTAATTTGAGAATTACTTTGTGCTACTAATCACAGCCACTATTTTGCCTACTTTTCAATACTTAGTCAAGTATTAAGCTCTTATTAAGTACACAAAAGTCCTGTGAAGTCACTGAAACTGCACCTGTTTACACTTTATGTGGAAATATCCCAGTTCTTACAACTTTTTCCACTGAAGTATTTAAAACAAGAAAGAGCCATAGAGGAACTTGAGCAGTAATACGAATTGTGTAGTAAATAGAATAACCTAGAATAATACTATTCCTACAGCATCTCATACAGACAACTTTTCCATAAATAGACCAGTATGTTCAAACTGAAGGCAAACAGACATAGGAAGCCACTAAAAAGCTCAAAATGTGTAACTACCTTTATGTAGTACACATCCAATTTCATTTCAATGTTATAAAAGTAATCCCAAAACATACTATTAGGAATTGTATTTTTAAAAAACTTTTGTTTTCAGTGTTTGTTTGTCTAACAAGCTGCTTACAGAACTGATTTTTTATTTTGAAAGTAGACTTTAAAAAGCTAATTTCCAGAGAGACTTTTTTTACTGCAATCCTTGTTATAGTTCACTGAGCTGGTGCTTTGACAGACATGCAGTCTGTTACTTCGTAATAGCAACCACATTTATTTATTTTTTTTTTATAATCCATAATATGTAAGAATTTTTAAAGGCAGATTTTTTAGGAAACTGTAAACAATACTCCAAGACTTATTGGCAATAAATAAAATGACCTTTAGCCTTTTAGGATTTAAATTTCTCTGCCAAATTGGAATTTTGGAAGTTTGGAATCAATTTCCACGTTAATTTTCTGGAATTAATTCTGGACAAGTTTGGAAACTTGTCTCTGAGGAAGAGTCAAAATCTATTTCCAGTCCAGACTCATCAGAATTTGGGAGAAAATTAGCATAGGAGTCTGACTGCTCTTTTGGATTACCAGAAACATGTTTCAAAACTGAGTCCATGTATTGTGAAGATTCCCAGAGCCAGGTTTCAATGTCCGCAGAAGAGTGAGGCATTTTAAGATGACAGTATGAGGAATGAAATTCCACAGCAGATGGGGCAGTTTGACATTTCCTTAATGATGCATATTTGTCTTTCCTGTTTAAGAAGAAAAAAAAAGATTAATAATGTTTCAGTGACAATTCTATTACTATTCAGATATTTTACAGGGAATCTCCAAGAGGAAGAACGCTACAGGAAAAAGGTTAATACTAAATGCATTTATTGAGTTAGGACATAGGACAACAGGAAAATAATCTTAAAGCAATCTTACCTAGAATAAGGTAACCTACCATTATGTATTTTCCATAGATGTAGGTACAAAATTGTTATATTAAAAATCATCATACTGTTCTGATACCACTTAAGTTACCACTTAAGGAGTTCTGATCTCCCCCAGCTATCCACCTGGAGTATTTGGTCACTTACCAATCACAGCGGTTAGCTGACATTAAATAGCATGGTCTCAACATTCACAAGCAAAGATAGTTGTTTGACTTTATGAACACCATCTCTGTATTACACTTCACAACCAGCTATGTATCACCAACTTAAATAGCTGGAACAGAACTTTAAGCTTTACAACAGCACCTGAACCACCAGGTTAGTCCTTTGTAATTTGAGAAATAGGAAACTGAAGTTGTCACCAAGAATGCACTTTTTTTTTTCCTAAAAAGTTATGTCTTTTCTCTTTCAGTGTCTTTGCAAATAGACAAAAAAAAAAACACCTACAAATACATATCAAACCACCTCTCTTCTCCCCCCCCAAACAAACTCTCTCCCTATCACACTTTTCAACTTCAGTTTCCATACTTGAATTTCACATGCACTAGGAGATACCATCCAGAAGGTTAGGTTTCCTAAGAGGATGTCCAAACTATAAACAGCTCAAATTTTCACAAGATTTAGGTCTGACTGCAAGAGAATCTAGATCTGATGACATAAGAAGAGAGTTAAAAAACAGCATGGGTATTACTTTCTGCAAAAGCAGCCATAAGTTCTTGATGGATGCTGAAACACAGCACATGCCCGGTTGCCTGTAGAATACAGTGCAGGATTCTACATACAGAGCCTTGGGACCTAGCTACCTGAAGATGAAATCCACTTAAAGAAAGGCTTCAGAAAACTTTGAGAGTTTTTTACAATGTAAACAGTTCTGTGGGAGTTGATCACTATTATGGTTTAACCCCAGTAGGCAGCCAAGTACCATGCAACTGCTTGCTCACTCTCCCCATGTGGGATGGGAGAGAGAAGTCAGAGGTATAAGCACAAGAACTTGTGGGTTGAGATTAAGACACTTTACTAGGTAAAGCAAAAGCTGCTTTAAAAGCAGCTTAAAAAGGAAATTATTCACTGTCTCCCATCGGCAAGGAGAAGTTCAGCTATTTGTTACTAAAACAAGGTCCATTAAACATAAGTTTATTGGGAAGATAAATGGCATCACTCCAAATATCCACTCCCTCTTGCCTCCTTTCTTCCCCCCAGCTTTTATCGCTGAGTGTCGTGGTTCCGCTCGAGTGGGCAAACGAGCTCCACCACAGCCGCTCTATCACTCCCCCTCCTCAAAGAGGAACAGGGAGAAAATATGATGAAAAGGGCTCAAAGGTTGAGATAAGGACAAGGAGATCACGCAGTAATTATTGTAATGGGCAAAACAGACTCTGCATAGGGAGATAGGGAGATAGTAAGATTTATTGCTTATTACTAACAAGCTAGAGAAGTGAGAAACTAAGGAAAGAAACCAAAAGCACCTTCCCCCCCCCATCCACCCTCTTCCACCTCCTTGGCGCCTGCAAGGCTGTTCCTCACTCCTCTCACTCTCCCAGCTACTGTCACACAGCGGTTTTTTTCCCCCTGTCTTAAATATGCTCTCACAGAGGCGCAAAACAACATTGCTTATTGGCTCAGCTCTGGTCAGCAGTGGGGCCTTTACCAAACATGGGGTAGCTTCTAGATCCTTCTCACAGAAACCACCCTTATGGCCCCCTGCTACCAAAACCTTGCCACGTAAACCCACTACACTGAGCACAACATTATATGGTACGGAATGTGCCTTTGGTCAGCCTGGGTCAGCTGTTCTGGCTGTGTCCCCTCCCAACCTCTGGTGCACCCCCAGCCTCATCACTGGCACGACAGTGAGAGAAACAGAAAAGCTCTTGGCTTACTGTAAGCACTGCTCTCCAACAACTGAAACACAGGTGTTATCAACAATATTCTCATCCTAAGTCCAAGACACAACACTGTACTAGATACTAGGAAGAAAATTAATTAACTCTATCCCAGCCAAAACCAGGACAATCAATCAGTCATCATTAAAATAACCATAAAAGCACAAAGGAAAAGCCATGTGACCACCATGCCCTGTTTTATGACCAAGAGCTTGCTCTTTCCCAACATTTTCCAGTTCCAAACTCCCACATCTGATTCAGAATTTCTTGAGCAATCTTATTCTCTTTTCTTACTGATTGTTCCAGCTGCTATGGAGCAGAGCAGAAACAAGGTCTTTTTCAGTCCAATGCCTGCTCTGTAACACCCCCAAAAGCATAAGCCTATCAACAGGCAACACCTCTGCATCTCAGGTATGTAGCAGTCATTGATCAGTTATAAACAACAAACTCCACCCAATGTTATTAAAAAACAAAGATGAGGGTTAGAAGCAGCGAGAACCATTTTGTGCTACCCTTGAGAAGATTATTAAATCCTGTTTAAAGGGGGAAACTTAGTAGTTCTTGAAGCTCTGATAAGAGAGAATTCCAAAAAAATACATCGTCCACATGCAGCAGCACACCAGTTTACCTGTATGTACAGAGAAGCCTCCTTTTGGCCTGGGAATAAACTGTACCAGCAATCTGACAAAACTGTTCTTGCATCCATCGAACATCAGCCGGCATGTCAGGAAACCAGTTCACTAACCTACAATCAAAATCAAAATACACAGGGTACTTTGAATGCAGTAAAACTGAAGTACATCATATTTCCACACACCGAGTCCCGCATCCAACAAAGTAACTCGGGGAGAATGAAAGCTGTGTTAACTCCCATACCAGTATCTCCAGGTCTTCTCAACCTCTCTAAATTTTCATTTATCTCACTCATCTCTTTTCTACAAGCTAAGAAAAAAAGTGCAACACACAACACTATGTCTCTGATCTATGCTTAGTGTCTGACTAGTGTGTATTCTATACAACGTTACCAACTTTTAGGAAAAATGAAGGAACCTCCCGGTCTCTGAGACCTTTCTGCATAGTAGGAACTTGGTGGTCAGTTTAATGTTACGTGGGAAAAGAAGAACAAGAGTAAGGCAGAAATAGAACAAAGTCACAAATACATTCTTTTTCCTTACAGTGCTCTTAACCTCAGTCAGTTACACTGGGGGAGGGGGGAACACCACGTAATTCTGTTGATTGCTTGTCATCTGTCAAATACAATGCAGAAGGGCCATGTTAAGTGGCAGAGAAAAAATATTTTACTGCATAATATAGCAGTAGTAGTAAAGAATCTGCTCCTGGCAAACACAATAAATTGCTCAAAAAAAGTCCCCTTAAAATACAGCTTTTAGTAGTTTGTTGTTTTTAGAAATCTTAATGCATGTATGTTTATCTATCCTTAGACTATGCAGGTTTTAAGAGGATGTATTATGTAGGTAGATATTATGGTCTTTAGACAGTTAACACTTGAATAATAGAGTACCAGAGTGCCTACAAAAAAAAAATGTATCGGCATTCATTTATACTCAAGTATAATAAATATAAAATTGTTCATGAAAAAGTTTTACCGTATAGCAGCAGAATAAGCAGACTCCACAGGCAGTGTATATGGTAGCATCAGATAGGATATCACTCGTATTGGGAAGAGTTTAGAGAACTGAGCATAGAATCCATTTGGTTCTTTACATGCTTCCTGCAGTGCTTAAGAATAATTGTTTTGAAAAAAAAAAAAGATTATTTGAAAACTGTTTAAATAATTTGCTCAAGGTTTGGTAATCTTCAGTCAATATTGTGAACTCTTACTGAACAATGCTCAGACAGAAACTAAAAAAGGTAATCTCAAGGCACTCTTATAACTCTTCTCTATGCTACTTCAAAATACGTGAGGCACTGACTAATTCCACAGGGACAAAAAGGCATTACCCTGAAATTTTAAGCAATAAATATAAGCATTAATTTATGATGAAAGGATATAAGGTTCCCCTCTCCAAAAAATATTTATGTATTTTATACAGCATCCTTGTCTTATCTGAGACTGTGTAACTTCAAGGAGTTTAAATTCTGGAGTTCCACACATTCCAGTTGTTATACATGTATATATAGTTTCAGAAGTTTCACACTTTGGATTTTGTTCTCCTAGGTCACTGGAACTAGAAATTTCAGATCTTGATAATACTGTTCAGCATCTACAACAAACCTTGGTAAAAATTATAGATTAAGAAATATTAGAAGTGTTCCTGGTCTATTAACATCTTATTAAAAAGTCAAGAGAAACAGACAATTAGAAATCTACTGAAGTATGGTTTAAAAATAAGATGGTGGTAACTGGTATTTGGATTTGAGGTTCAACTTTGTTGTGAAATATATACTTATAAAGATACTGTGGATGTGCAAAATATATCCAAATCCAAATAAGAATCCTGTTCCTGACTCCACAGTGTTAAAAGTAGCTCCTTCTAAGCTCAATCTTATTTTTGTAGCTAAATCAAAATGTACACATTCACATTTTGTGAGCATTTAAACAACATTTTTGGCTTGAGCTAGTCTCTAGTTTCATAGGGAATTATAAGATTAAATAAAAAACACCTAATGCAAATTATAAGATAACAGTAAGGCAGGGGGGCAAGTTGGAAAATCAAAGTTTGTCATTTAAAGTTACAGAACAGTCTGAAGAACATACCTTTACGAAGCCTAGGAGGTAGACTCTCAAATATGCTCTTCTCCAAAGGCCATGAATTTTGCTTTTTCTGGTTACTGAGTACTTCCAGTTTTGAAGTTTCCACCCTGTTGTTTTCAGAACTATTTTTTTTCTTCATATAGCCAACATGTTGCATAGCCTCATGAGGATTTCTTTTAGTGAAGGACAAGCTGACATAAATTGAGTCATTCAGAATACCTGAAAGAGTCAAGAACTTCCACTTAGGCTCACTCCACAGATTTTCAGAGTACCTATACTCTGTATCTTTACAGAAGTCCTTATCCTGAGGGAACATTATCTACCCAACGTCCAATACACTTGCTCTTATAAGTCTTCAAACATTTATTAATATTGATGAACACTCTTTTGCAGGTTTAGGTCTTACTTTAAAACAAGTTCTAAAGAAAATGATAAAGTGAGCAATTAACTGAAACTGCATTGGAAACACACAGTCATTTGCCAAAGTTGTTCTCCAGCAACAAAGGAAATAGCTAACAGGAGGAAAACGGATTTTGTTTTTCCTTGAAAGAAAACATCCTCAATACATGAGACCAATTTGAGAAATTTGACATGGCAGTTTTCACAAGAGTACTCTGAGCTACTGTCACAATAAGGCAAAAAAGGAAAGCAAGTAGGGTGCAATATTGTTTAAACATTTATTCAAAGTATAGATCTAAATCAATATCTGTTGCCTTGCAAAAGCAGTGGATTCCAATTAACAGATAGCACTTCTAATTGCCTTAGAATTGAGCATCAGAAAATAAGTAGAAAGTGAACTATAACAAAAAGAGTATTTACATTCAGTCTCCAGAAAAACAACATGAAGTTACTATACATGTATATAAAGACTACCAAGTTTAACTAGGACCCACACCTACATGCAATTGAATCTATATCCTACTTACAAGTACTCCTAAAAGATAAATGTCAGTCAAAAGAACATACAATGAATATAGCAGAAAGTTATCTAAATCAACATTTTTTTTTTTGGGGGGGGGGGGGCGGGAGGCGGGGGGGAGTGGAGGAAATCACAGATTTGAAGGGGCTGGAAGGGACCACGAAAGATCATCAGGTCCAACCCCCCTGCCAAAGCAGGGAATACCTCCTACGGCTGAAATAGCTCAACAAGAAAGGATGAATAATGAACGAGTTTGGAGAGGCTACAATTATCACTGATTCACACACCTGTGACAGAATAAGAACAAAGGTATCAGTAGTGCAAGAAGGAGGACAATAGTGCAATACAGAGAAGATGTGTGGGAAAGACAGCATGGAAGACCTGCAAGTAATCTCAGACAGTGTCAGATGGAAATGTGCACACAAGAAGCTTGTGAAACAGTACAGCAACACAGCCCATCTTAGCACGAGCAACTTCAAATGATAGGCTGGGTTCTTTTTGTAAAAGTTGTGCTTTTAATAATTTCATAAAGGATCTAAAGTGGGACTCTCTCAGTAAATATATAATAATATTACTAGAAATGAGACTCTTAATCTGAACAGTGTTGTTCTTTAACATTGATGAAATTGTTTCAAGGAAACTTGAATATTTAATACATAGTTTTAACAGAGAATGAGTAATGAGCACATTAAGCTATGACTACATTACAGCACTGCAGATAGTACTAGCTCTAACAGTACAAGTATCACAATTCAATTTACATTTCTCTAATCTGACCAAGTACTATCTCCAATTTGCTTCTGCTTCCAACAAATACAGGGAGTAGGCATACCTTACATATGGTTAATTTCATGCTAATATTAAGTTGTTGTTTTTAATATTATATGGTTAATTTCATGCTAATATTAAGTTGTTGTCTGTCCCCAAGTTGATCAAAGAATAGCATTTATCAATATAAACCATGTTACTGGAATTGAAGAGCAAGATAAAGCAGCTGTTAATTCTTATTCATAAACTTATCCAGATCCCAGTAAATGCTGCAGTACAATTCCTCTTCTTTTAAAGTCTTTCATAATACAAAGTATTGGTCCGTTACTGATTTTATATTGTTAGGCAGCTCTCAGTTCTGGACTAAAGAGTTCACCTACAAATTTATTTGGATGATACAGAAGAGGAAGCTATGAGAAGCAGGTTACACAGGAATGGGTAACAATAGACTATTCCTATCCTTTAAGGATAACACAGAAGAAACTAGTAATATATTTTTCCTGGAATTAGAATTTCTTCGTAATTTCACTCAACAATACCATAATATTCACTTCATACAAGTTTGACAAAACCCCTAAAGTGCAACTTTTACATGACAGCACAACTGCCTCAGATGACTAGTGACTACGATAATTTCTATCAACTGAAATTCAGAATGAAAATATAACTTACCATGATGCCTTCAAAAAGCCTCTATGACTTAGCCCCTCTTAGCTACTTACAACCGCTTCACCCATTTTTTTTTTTTATTTTTAAACCCAGGTTAAGACCATATCATCACTAACTGTCCACAAGTGTAACATACCATTCTCTTTCAAGAATTTAAAAGCATCTGAATATCCTTGCTCACAAATCTCTCCTAGTACCTGCAAACAGAGGGTAAATTAGTCAGCCAAATAAAAGGAGATTTAAGATCAACAGTTCACAGAATGGAAAGCCACCTACATCTACCTTTCGTCTTTATAATTGTAGAAGTTTCTTACAATCGCTCTAATTCAACATAGTCACATCAATAAACGTACTGTGTGACACACATGCAATCATGCATATGTAAGCTTATTCTTCAATTATCACAGATGTACTGAATTACTCAGCTAAAAGGACAAGATTCTAACTGTTCGCAAGAGTTTCTTCCTTTGGCTAGTCTATGTTAGAAGCAATGTAACAGGGTGGCTTAGTAGAATATGCCAATTCCCCTCTTCCCTTCCTGTGCTTCCCAATTCCCAAAACAGTGAGAAGCCAGCTATGCAATTCTCTTGTTCAAGTTCAAACTTAACCTTCCACATGAAAGCATCTTTCACCAGATGTAACACCAGCTCAGCTAATAACGTACACAGTCCTAGACAAAAGAAAAAAGTTAACACATACATAAGTTAAATTAATTTTTTTTCCAAGTTGTCAAAACCCTCCTAATTGAAAAAAAAATAATAAAAAAAAAAAATCTATAGTAGTCAAACATTTCTCCTCTGTAGTATATCCTAAACCAGTTGGCAAAGTCTGTTTTCTTTTTTTCAGCTTCAGCAACTGCAATTCAAGCTATTTCCCTCATCAGATCCGCAATTACAAGTGCTTAGTAGAATTTAAAGGCAAGCTGCCTGCATCAGGTATTAATAAGTTTACAAAGACCTGTTGCTTCAGAACTGCAAAGTTCTGAAGAAACTGATTAGCATGTAAACATGAAAGGACTCTAAACTGCCTGTTATTAATTTACCAGTGTAGATTTTATGATAGAATCCTGTGTTAATTCCTAAATAAACAGAGAAAGCCAATACCATTTTTAGGCAGAGAGACTAAAAATAAGGAGAATGAGGTCCCTTCCAACCCAAGCCATTCTATGATTCAAAGATCATCTAGTTCCAACTTCATTCTTCTAGAATAAAGACAGGCTACGAATAAAATAGAAACAAGAGAAGCGTCAACAGAAAACTTTATATGACTAGATGAAGTGCTAAGATTACCGTAGCTTTCTGCAAAAACAAAGCCTATATATTGGAAAAATGTTTTAGTAACTACATTAAGTTACCTTGGGTTCTGGTGGAAAGAGTGCTTGTGTTAAACGATAAAGGTTCCCCAAACTGAGCTGAATGCTGGTGTTGGTCAAGTTCATTTCATGAAAATTGGCTGAGTTCCCCTTTGGGCAGATATCACACTCCCCAGCAAAAGGTGAAACTGTGATTGTATTCTTAGATTCATACTGAGGCAAGTTGTCACTGATTCCTCCATCCACATAGCGCTACAAAGATTAAAAGAAGTAAAAAGAACATTGAAATTTTCCAACTAGCAGATTTCCCATTAAAGAACTAAATATCACTTAAAAATAATAGTACAGTCTCTGTTTACGTTCCCAGACTAAACATTTTGAGTAGTATGTTTTGTCCTCTTACGTCACTTAAACATTTGTACCTATAGCTCCATAGATAGTCTAAGAGCATTCTATTTGTGACTTTTCTGGACACTTAAGAAAGAAAAAGTCCTTCTTTCCAGTAGGATGAATTTTAGCCAGTTTGTTCTGACAACGTCAAAAGCCCATTCCTCATTACCAACTTTGCTGTTCTACTGGCTCCATTTTCCTCCCTCCTAACTAGGCATCAGAGAGAACTGAAGGTCCTTCATAAAATGTAAAGGTTAGGTAATGTTTTGAGCAGGAGAAACCTGGATTATCAATTTAACCTGTCTTGACACTCACTCCCTGAGTATTCTGAGAAACACATTAGGAATGAGGAAGAGGACAGCTCCAGAGCAATTTATCCAACATACTGTTTTAGAGCAGCTTGTTCCTACCTACCAGCTTTCTCAAACACTTTTTAGACTCAGCAACATGCAGCTGCTGACAAACTTCCTCCAGGTGTATAATGCAATCACCAAGGTACTCAGGCAATCACCATGTCCTTTGTGGAATTATTAAGCGAGCTGTTTGGTCAAGAAGCAAGGGTGAAACCATAGCATGCAGTCTTCTCATTAAATTATTCAAGGATGGAAGCAGACATCTGATTTACTGTTCTACATAAATACTTGTTGGTTGTGGTTTTGTTATTTTTTGCCTTTTTTTCCTTCTTCAGTTTCTGTCCATTTATTCCCCCACAAAATGTTTAATCCCAAACACTGTGTTTGAAAAGTGTAAAACAAACACATCACCCAAACACTTCACAAAAAAGGAAAAAAAGTTCATCTTGGAGAAGCACCTCAAATCCAACAGAAACTAGCCTTTGGTATTTCTACTGCTTACAGAATAGCTAGCCCAGATCTGAAGTTGTGTTATATAATAAACTTCATCAAACCTGTTTCTTTTGCTGACCGTTACCATGCTATTGAATGCAATGTGGTCTGCAAAGTAATATTCTATAAACACTCTGAGCTTCAGTTGTTGCAGTAGATGCACTTGCATATGCTGTTGCATATTACTAGTACTGTACATCTAATGGAAGTTATCCTCAAGTCTTTGGAAGACAGGGTATAAAGACACAAAGCATCAAGCCAATAAACAGCAAGATGCTACAAAGTTTAAATACTAGACATTCCACTGTGTTTATACCCTACAGGTCTCACACCAAGCATAGGGAAGTGTAGTACTATTACCATGTTACAACATAACTTCTATGCATTAAAATCATATCAAAATAATCACAAAGAACAAAAAGATACGATTCCTTCTTTCCCCTTGCCTCAAAACAGAACCAAACCAAACGTCTCTTCTATGTTTTTGTACTCTGGACTAAGCCTTTTAAAATAACATTGTTGTCTGGTGACAAGGACTGAATAGCCAGATTATCCTGGATCCACCTAAACCTTGGCTTCAGTCCAACGTCCTGTTTTCATAACACCTTTAATCTGGAGGATTTTAAGAAGACATACAAGGTTTAGAAATACAGATAAAGATAAATCCCTATACAGGTCTAATCACTTTTGCTTTAATTTCAGCAGCAGCAGAAGATGCATTTAATGGCTATCCTTGACCTTTTAGCACTTCCAGATAGCCTTCAGAACAGTCTGTAATCAAACACTGTTAAGGAAGTTTTGAGTTTTCTTTCAACATACTTGCCCTCTCCTTATGTAAGGAACATCAAATTTGGAAGGAAAGAAATTGCAAGTTAGTGCAACACCATAAAAAAAAATATGATGAAGTGCATGCCCACTTTCAGACTTGTTAATCAAAACATCTGCAAACTATACTGTTTTTTTTTTTTTTTGCAGTTGTTGCCCCTTTAACGTGGGATTTTAGAAAACCCAGTATAGCCATGAAATATTAAGAGGTTTTGTAACCAAGAGTTCCTGTGAAGTAATGGGAACAGACTGATGATCAATCTCTTTCATATTTAACACCAATGACAAGACATTAAAAAGTCTTTGGTTATATCTAATTGAATTGAACTTCAATTCAGTTTTAAGGCAGATTTATCTATACAAAGAACATGCAGATAAACAATATAACCTCTCAGATTTTTTTTCCCCAAAATAAACAAGTGACCCTTCCTATCAATTTATGCAGGTTAGTGATCATCACTGTCTTCATTAAATATTCATCCTAAAATGTTCACTTTTGCTAGCTTAGAATACTCTATTTTAATTACTACATCAGCAAATGAGACATTTCAGGGGGGGATTTTTTTTTTCCAGGATGGAGAAGACATACATCTTCCACTTCCAACACATCTACTGTTCCCTTGCTCTTTTCACAAGCGTATACATATATACATCTACAGTACTAAAAGCTCTGATGAGAGCTTATTTATTTTATTGTAGGGTAACAACAACAACCAAAAAAGTATATACATTATCTTTTATTATTTTCTGAATAGCTACAAGTGTTTTTAAAAATCAAAAACTAGGACTTACCACACCTCTAAACGATGGTGGAATTAGGCCACAATAAATGGGAACAAATGAACTACAGATCAAAGCCTGTGGAAAAATGAGATTACATAAATTAAATGGTAATTTTTATATTATTATATTTATCATTTATCTTTATCTCTTTAGCTGTTGGCAAGAACAACTGAACCAAAAAAAAAACAAACAACAGCAAGTATTCTTCAATAAAAAGAAAAAAAATATTATTAACAAGCATTATTTTACATAGACAATTGAGGGTGTTCAAACTTCTTTCTGGCATGCAACCCCAATCCATTAAAAAAAGATAAGACTCACTAAAAGACCATTTGTAGAAATGCTAATTAGCAAGAAAAAGTTTATGATCATTCCCTCAAGCTACACATTTTCACAGAACCACAGAATCATTTAGGTTGGAAGAGACCTCCAAGATCACCTAGTCCAACCTATGACCTAGCACTAACAAGTCCTCCACTAAACCGTATGTATCACTAAGCTCTATATCTAAACTTCTTTTAAATACCTCCAGGGATAGTGACTCAGCTGCTTCCCTGGGCAAGGAAGTAGAAGTACTTTTCTGAGCAACCAAAATAACTAATGGGGGACACTAGTATTATCCCAGAGTAATAATATAGAACTAGGTTATTCATGGATATTAAGAAATAAAAAAAAAAAAAAAGTATTTTTGACTGTTTCCTGATGACTGCTTTTATAAGAATAACCTTAAAAAAATTTCTTCATGAAAGACATTGTCATTAGATACATAGCATTTCATCCTTTTGTCCAGTCTTAAAATGGCCTTTGTCCATTTTAAGATTGATCTCACATACCTACTCCCTCAGTTCACAGATACATTAACTGGGAAAACAGAATAAATTTGGCATAATGAAGGTTGAATTATTTTTTAAAATACTTTCAAAGTAACAATATCTTTAAATTTTTAAAAGGAAACCCAATGGAAGATATGAAATGGACTTGAGATTACAAAAATGTCAAAAAGTTGCCAAAAATAAACATACCTGGACAACTTCTTCTTTAGAGTTAAAATTAGATATCAGTGTATTTTTACCATCTGATACTCTGGTTAGTGAAATACACAGTCTGCCTGAAGACAACTGGTGAGTGTTTTCTGGAAGATTTCTCATCAGTCCATCTCGTATTATCTTTATCACATTGAAGGAAGGATGAAGAGGTCCAAGATTTCGCTTTCTAGCTTCTTTTGCTAATGCCAGAACATCTGCACAAGCTTCAGCTGCAAACAAAATGCATTTCATTTAAGAATAGAAAATATGCCAACAAAAATAAAAAAAAAATAAAGAAAAAGATACCCCTCCAAACCAAACTTTTATATAACTAAACTTTTTATATAACTAAATCATCTCTAGAGCTCCAACTTTTCTTTCTGATTGCCAATACGAAAATTCAAGAGCTTTTTAATACATGAAATAACTGTCCACTAGCATTTAATTGCAAGTTGAGAAGTATTCTGAGAAGGAAAAAAGTAGTCACCTAAGACTTTCAAATAGTTAGAACTTGTTCTCATGAAGACTCTGCCACTAAGTTATTTATATCTGTTATTTCTGAGTATAGGTATAGAATAGCCATGTAATATGCTTCTGTTTGTAATTATTAATTCTAGAAACACATTCTTTAAGAAGGAAGGAAGCAAGCAAGCAAGAAAGCAAGATGAGTAACCTTCCATAAGCATGTATGCATAGAAGTATTCCACATGCAACATCCATAAAAGAAATCCATAAAAACTATACAACGCACAGATCTTAGTTCCGCAGTATCTCTGCTGAAGAAGTTCATCACAGCCTGGGTTCACCACCACTAGTAATACCTGCTGGACTTTAACCCAACTTAAAATTTCAGGGCATCATTTATCTTCTTTTATACATAAAAGCAATAAAGGAGACATTACATGGGAACTTCCAGTAGGGAACTTCAAGAGGGAAATTTTTAAAGCAGTGGATAAGGAACGTGGGGGAGATCTGCAACACCTCTCACACAGGTCTCCATTTCAATAGGTGTTTTTACCAATATGTAACAGACATATAATCGAATTTTCTTCAGTTAAATCAGCATTTAGGAACTAGATCAAACCACTACAGAGGACATGATTGTTCCTGAAGAACAGCTAAACCATTCTATCAGCCAGAAACCTAGTCATGCTTAATGAGAATAACAGCTCATCCTCCCGTCAAGGTTTTGTTTAAATACTTAGTATCATGCTTCTCCAGGGCATACTTTGTGGGTATTGCCTGATAAGCAAGTCAGCTTGGGAGAAGAGGAGGAGGAAGGTCAAAGTAACAGGTTTAACCTGAGTGATACACTACAAGGTCATTCAAAAAACTGTTCAGAACTTGCATATTTTAACTCACATAGCTTCTTTCTGGAATAGATAGGATTCAACTTATCAAGCTAACCACAAACACTTCACTGAAAAGAACTTCACTTTTGAGTTCAGATTTATTTTTGAAAATACTATCTTTCTACAAAGCTTTTTTTTTTTCCTCTCAAGTAGGAACACCTCAGCCTTTCTTAGCATACTAAAACAAAAACCTATGCTTAAACGAGTACACCCAAAAAAACCTGAGCCAATAGATTTATAACTGATTACCACCTCACCACAAAAATACTGCATGTCCAAAGACATCTATGGAGAAGATCTAAGATGAATACACCTCAACAGTTCCAATTTGGATCAACCCAAAATGTGTATCATCCTCAAAAGAACAGCCGCCTCTGAGCTTCTACCTTCATCTTCCTCCAAATGCAATGAAGGAAACTTTTCCCTCAGTCTAGAGCAGTACAATTCTGTTTTCTCTATTTAATGTCTGTTCACAGTAAGTCAAGCTTGAAAACCTACAGACTCTAAGTTTGTCTTTCCAACAGGTAACAAAAAGAAATCCCTTTAGTCAAAACATCTGGCTACAAACCTCGAAGAGGTAAAATATGTGAACCAGGTTTAGTCAAAAACCCTGTTCAGAGCTACACATCCACACTTGTGGTTTTATGTGTGAGGACAAGCATAGTAATTCAAGCCTGGGTCCAGTCAAGTCTTGAACACCTCCAAGGATAGAGATACCACAATTTCTCTGTGCATCTACTGCAGTATTTTGTCACTGCTGTGGCATTTTCCTTTTCCTCTGATCTAATCAGAATTTCCCATTTTCCCCACTGTGGCTGCTGCCTCCCATTTCAGATGGAAACCAGGCATCTCCAAGAAGAGCCTGGGGTTCTGTCTTCCCACTGGGAAATGCAACTGTGAAAATAGGTGGGCCTTGGAACAATAAGTGCAGAAATTAATACTGCGTGTTATATCAGTTAACGCAAAATTAACAACTAAAAAGATGCAGAGTTAACATCTGAATTCCTGCTAATAACTTAAAGATTTTAGAATATGGCTGTTTTTGAATTGTCTTGTAACATTCCTAAGTGACTTAAAAAAATGTTTCCAGAAGAAATACACTTGTACATAAAATATAATACCTTGGGCAGTGGTGACAAATGTACTAGTTAATCTAGTGTTTATAGAAAAGCAAAAATTCCACTTGGCATATAAGAAAGATGTTGGAATAATTTTAAGTTTACAACTCTTAATTATTAAAATACTAAAAATGTTTAAAGCTGTTAATATCACATATTGTCAGGTAAACAATATTTTTTGTGTGCTTCAGAACACTTCTTATATTTATAGCAGCTTTCAAGTCTTCTTGAATCACTTACAATATCTAAAAACCTAGCACTGGATACATACTAAAAACAAATAGCTACTGTGGATAAACATGGCTTGTTTTAAAAGCTGGTACGAGGCTCATAACAATTTATGCATGCTGTGCTAGTACCTTCAAGTAAATTTAAAATAAAGTGTTTAAGTAATTCAAGTTTATTGCTAAAGCTTTGAAGACGTTACGCGTGACAGATAAGTGGCCAAGCTGCAGGGACAAGCATTTCATAGCACAAGCCCTTCACAGTTACAGAGAACTTTTTTACATTTTAGTGATGAGCTCAGAAGTTTAAAAACACCACCAAACCCTCTCCAAATTCAACATAAGTGGTTTTCCTCCTCTATCTCTGAGCAAGATGAAACGTGAACTTAAGAAATCTCCTAGTTCTAAACCTCTTATGGCTCCTGTGAACAAAAACTATCAGTTTTGCATCCCAAGCCTTTATTCCGTGGATCTCTGGTTTAAAAGGAAAATAATTTTCAGATGTTTCATACACATTTAAAAATGCACTTCAGTCACTACCCAACAACCCGGATATTTTTCACGCATCAGGCTGCTTTAACTTCTAATTTTTTTATTATTAGCACATCTAATTTATTAGATAAACATTTATTTGGGTTATAGTCAGTCCCAAATAAGTCGAAGTAAAGTACACGGTTTTGCTTCCCGCCAGGTAATGAGCGCTTATTTCCCGAGAGAGACTACAGCTGCAAACTGGCATTTGTTACCACGGAATATCTGCTATCACACACCACCAACAACTCAGCCACTTCAGTCACAATTAAAATCAGTTAAAATCAGCCGGTCCGTCTCCTCCTCCCCGCACTACACGGTTCGCACAGACCGCAGGAAGGGGAACCCCTCCCCCCCCATAGCCCCATAGCCCTGCCGCCCCGCACCCAGCGAACCGCCTCCGACCAGCACGGCGCCGGCCAGTGCTCCGGCCGAGGCGCCGTAGATGTGCCGTGCGTCGCGAATGATATGCGGGGCATGCTCCTGCAGGCAGGTGGCCGCGCCGATGTGGTAGACGCCCAGGAAGCCGCAGCCGGCGAACGACACGCTCCAGCCGCGCTCGCGGTCCAGCATGGCCACCAGCAGCTGGCCGTTACAGCCGCTCGCGGTGCTGCTGCTCCAACTACCGCGGCGGCCGTTGCCCGGCGCGATACCCGAGTGCGGGGCTATCCTGCGGCTTTCCGCCGCTGCCCCGCCCAACCCCGCTGGACAGCCAATGGCGAACTGCCGCCCGCCACCTCGCCATGGCCCAGCGGCGGCCCAGCCAACCCCGAGGCGGATGCAAATAAAGCCCCGCCCCCTCCAGGTGTCCCCGTCCCCCCTCCGGCTGTGAGGCGGGGCCTGGCTGAGGGGATGACGGGCTAAATAATAAAAGCGAGGATGGACCTACAGCTTGCTTTCGGCACCGAGTGCGTTAGGTGGCACGCCCCAACGGCGTTTTAGGGACAGAAGCACGGGCAGAGGAGGTAAATATCACTCCCAGCCCAAACAACCAGCGTCGTCTGATGGAGCTTGTGAGGTCCCTGGCAGACTGAGCGACCGACCGCAGGAGCCAGGCACAGAGGGGCCTCCGGAGGTTTCACATCGGCATCTTGAGGTGGCTGAGTTCTGCCAGAAAGCCTGGAACGTCCTGACAGCTTGACGGGCCATCAGTGATTAACAGAGAACCATAGCAGCATCTAGGCTGGATACATCCAACTATCCACACATCCAACCACATCCCATCACCAGCCCACCTCCCTCCCCGTAGGGTCATCTGCAACTGCCTGAACAGAATTGCTTAATGCCCCACCACGTCACCACATCTAGCCCAGCAGCAAACAGGCCTGTTCACCAACACATGCTACGGAAGAGCTGTCTCATAGCCACATAACACCCCTATGAAGAGGTGTCGGCCAGCCCTGACTCTGGTCTACACCAGTGTAGTAATGCCACTGTGTCAGCTCTGTAGACCACCTTCCCTGCTAGCCCAGACACTTCTGTGGAGTAGGCCATTGCAGGCCAGAGAGGTGCACAGAAACATTTAGAAAACAAATACTCTGGAAGTCTCAAATGCACCTGACTGCTTCCAGGCATGATTTATCTCCCTGGAGAAAGGTGCTGGTATCCTCTCATAGTTTAAGAGGAACTGGTAGTTTTATGTGACAACCCTCCACAAATCCCAGAGTTCTCCAGGGCTGGACTATGAGAAAAACAGAACAACATATGTGAAATCTTTCAGGATTTAATTGCTTTGGTCAGGGCTAATGAAACCCTCTTTAGCTATCTGCATGCATCACCCTATCCTAACAACAGAATTCAAAAACATCTTGAAAGAGACACAAAGGAGCTCACACCTCCAAAATACACCTAGGAGAGAGGTTGTGTTGTGCAATTTTTTATTTGCAGGGCACGCTGCCAGAAAGAGAGAGAACAGAGAATCAAGCTCTTTTTCAGTCTGGGTGGGCCTGAAGCCAATTCTGAAAAATTACTAGGTAGTTCTACCAGCAAGATCTTGAATAATCCTTGGACAAAACACGCACTATCAGGAGAAACTCTGGATTTTGTCTGAATGAACACCACAAGCACTGGGTCACACCTTCAGTTTTCCTGTCTCTACCTCAGCTCTCCAGCCACCTACATCTATTTGCGGCATGTATCTTCATCCATTCGTCATCTCACCATTTCAACAGGCAGAGCAGAGTGTCTTAAACCCAAACATGTCCGTCACTGAGGCATTTCTCTTCATTTAGGGAAGAAGGCGTAAGACTGAACCTATTTCAGCTCAGAGGGAAGGAGAGAGCTGTAAATAATGAGGGAGCCACATCCCACAGTTCCTGAGTCCTATTTCAATTAAAATACAGTGACCACTTTTTTCTTCTTCTTCTTCTTCCATTTTCTTCTAAAAGGCCAGCTCTCCTGTATTTTGTATTCTATCCATGTGTGTGTATTTATTCAGAACTTATGTACAAGAGAGTACCATTTCTTAATCCATACTTTTTGAAACGAGGCACAGATGCTCAGAGAGGAACACTTCTGTCTGACTGCAGAAATGCATAGAATCACAGAATGGCTCAGGTTGGAAGTGACCTTAAATATCATCTAGTTCCAAACCCCCTGCCATTAGTTGACGTACCACCCACTAGACCAGGCTGCCCAGGGCCTCATTCAACCTGGTCTTGAACACTTCCAGGAATGGGACATCCACAACCTCTCTGGGCAACCTGTTTCATTAATTAGATATGGAGAACCAGTGAAACGGTAGAGGATTTTCAAAGGATTATCACATCATTATTTTTTTTGTGACTAATCTGTTTTGCAGGCTGAGATCAACTCCATTTAAAAAGTAATTTTAGTCCTAACCTGTCACTAGAAAGCTGTTCCTGAACCTCATTTCTTTAATAGGTGGGAGGAGTCTTTGCATTTTTACCATAAAATGATACACAGCCAGTTCATAACTATCTACTTTTTCACTGTCTTTTGACTTTAGTAACTCCTTTCTTTCACTGGCAATGCTTGGAGCAATGAACCTTATTCTCAGCCAGTCCTCACGTGTAACACTTGGGTAGCTGGGCTCCTCCGTCCCTTTGTCACCAGAAAGGCACTACAAATGTGCCATGACCAGTCCAGTAACCAGTCCTTCAGATGAGGTATCACTAGAGCCTTACAGCCTTTGCTAAGGAAACTGAATCACTAGCTCTGATTAGTTATAGTCATATTGTGATCAGCTGATAAATTCAGGTCCTTCCTCATCTCTGCTTATTTTTTTTAAATTCAATTCTCCTGTACACAACACCAAGATTTCTCTCTACATGGTACACCCCTTCCTGCATGTGCTTATTCTTTTTCAGTACCAGTTTTTATCTCCTCTGGTTGTTCCATAACAGATCTTACAATTTCTCCACTACATCATCTCCTGCTTAGTGCATAGTTTTTCATGCAAAATATCACCAGAAGTACACAGACAAGATGGCTGCTAGCTCCCTTGCCTGGAAAATGAGCTGTTTCATCAAAAGCATAGATTAGTATGACACACTGAACCTTTGTCTAATCACTTGGCTATCTCACCTCCCTTTTATCTCCAGGCCTATAAAGATAATTGTTCTTCCTCTCAAAACCTATTCTAATTCTTTTTTGTTGTTGTTGTTTTTCACATTTTTAGTTTACTCATTTAATTCCAAGTACAAATTTATCCGTCCTGCACCACTAAGATGTTTAGGATAAAAATCCTCAAGCTAGCTCTAAAAACTCGGCCATCTGAGAAAGATGATGCAACCCATCACAAGCACTACCAACTAACCCTACTGTGGTTGTACAATACGTGGTTTCAAAATTGTCTCATTTATCTCACATATCACTACATACACTGTGCTGCAATCAGTGTTGCAGACATCCTAAATCCTTTACTGAATCTACTCCGTAATAATTTCCCAGTAAATACAGGGAAATGAAGTAAAGCCTCAAGCAAGTTAACAGAAATTTAGTGAATTACAATCTACCAGGAAACTTGCATGCAGCTTAAACATCTGTAACAGATGTCAACCCAGCCCAGTCAAGGGGCTGGGCATATAAATTCAACAGGTGTGCCATCTGTCCATAATTTAGCTGCTGAAAGCTTCTCCCTTAATCCTTTCCATGTAGCTACAATACTTATTATGATTTAGGTGTGTCATTTTCCTAAGGTACTGATTAAATATATTGGAAAAGAAGAGAGAAAAGCAATAGTGCATTTGTAAAGTGCTTTTAAACTCCTTAGAAGAAAGATACCATTTAAATATTAAGTTTAATGAAGGCATATAATTTATAGGTAAAGGAACCACAAAGGACTGAGCACAAATAGGAGGCAACAAAGAAGCATTACTGGACAGATGACAAGTGATCAGGTCTGAGACCTTGGGGGAGAAAGAGTATGAGCCCTGGTGTCTTTGTTATTCAGGTGACTCCTTTTTATGCATCCTGAATATACTAATTTACCAGAGGAATAATTTAAATATTTTACAGATTAATTTTAATTCTTTCTTATAGTCATCCTGTGTTATTTGGGCACACCCTAAGGGAATACCACCATTGGTGGCCAGAGGACTGAAACCTTGACTGTTAAAAATGCATGAGAAACCACAGGGTAAGGACAGGAGAGTGTTGAATTACAGAGGGAGGTGCACTGAGGACAAATACTAATCATCACCTGGACCAGGAATCCCTTTACGTTCCTTGTGCCAAGGCTCCACATGCACACTGTGCTGCTCTCTTCCCTGACTTCTGCCACAGGGCTGCATTTCTGGGGAGCAAGGACAGAGAACATTATTTAAACTTTCCTGAATATAGCTTTTTACAGTTTATCATCAGTTTGCAGCATCACCTGAAATATCCTCTACTCTATATTAGCCTTTGCAGAGAATTTGCTCTTGGCAAAAATATCATTCTTGGTCCATAACTGGCTTCCAGTTCTTTCTAAAACAGTGGTATCAATGAGCAAAGACATGAGTAGTTCGTGTGGTTATTTTTTTCTGTTCACATGTCATAGCATGGCTCATTAAGCTTGCAGACATCTCAGGTTAACTACTCTCAGGTTTCATTGGCAAGCAATGGAAAGTAGGTCATTTTTAGTGAAAGATACTGACCTGCTTTTCCCTTGGGCCTGATCCTGCTACCCTTTGGGAAAGACTTTGGGACTGAGTTAATGTTTTGGTAATTATGTTCCTAAGTTATTATGGCAGGGAGAAATAAAACTATACAAATTATGGAGTATGTTCTCAAAAACTGTGCTGTACACAACTAACACAGATGCTGGTAGTTTAAGCAATTTCAGTGCAGCTTCTAAACTTCACAGGATAATCCTTATGCATGCTTTGAACTAAAGCTAAGAGGCCTGTTCTGATTT